ATTTTGTAAAATTCAAACAAAATAAAAGCCAAAACTGCATATAAACTTTAAAGGGACATTAGCTGTCAAATTTATGTTCACCGATTTGACTCAAATTCTCATATTTGATTTATAACATACTAAAACGTATATCTTATTACAAAAAGTTAAAAAAAATAAGCAATTAACAACGCATGCACTCGATAATATGTATTGATATTTCTTGTGTTTTTTTTTTCTAGGCGTCAACTAATTAACCATTTCCCGAGATGACCTCCGAAGACTGTCGATAGTCATATAACCCGATATATAAATAGATAGCGATCACGTGCAATTGGGTTTTTCTAGGTCTGCTTGATTTCATATTGTAGGTTATTGGTTCAATTTCAATGTTGACATTCTTTTCCTTTCAATAGCTGAATACATGCGTAACCCATCTCCAGCTAAGGAGCTAAATTAAAGGTCACATGAATACTCATTCAATGAGGTCGAATTATTCACCTGCAAGTTAATAATTCATCAGCGATGTTTCTTAGCTTATTTTGACAAAATTGATCCAAACTGGCTGCTAAAAGCGAATTATTATTTCACTATTTCACTTGCATTAATGATTGAACAAAAATAATTCATACTTTAATTTTTGTTTATCTCTTAGCTTATGCCCCTTTAATTTTAAAAAATAAAGGGAACAAACTCGGCCTACGATTTGTAGATTTTGTTTTTCACTTATTTTCATTTTTTTTTATTGTTTATAACTGTTACAACTTTTTATGTTTACATACGAATTTACGAGATAATAATAAATATTTTTGAAAAAAAAATCTATAAAATGTATTAAGATAAACTTAGATCCATAAGAAATTGTTAAATAATGTGTGTACCATCCAAAACACTTAAATTATTTTTTTAGCGCAGTCGAATTATCAAGTATATATGTGAATAGAGTTTAAAACAAAACTTTGTGTACCAAAAAATACGCAGTGTTTCAAATCCTAAGGATTTGTGCACATGCAAAAAGAGTGCAGGACGATTGAAAATGTGTCAACAGTACAGAACACGTGTCAGTTATTAGTTTTAAGGTGATAAAAAAAGGTGTCAACAGTACACGTGGCAGTATGATAGCATGTTAGGTCCAGTTCAATCAAAAAATCATGCATATTATAAATAATTTAAAAAAGGAAATAAAAAATTAAAAAACTTAAAGTAAAGACAAGTATTTAGTGGTAACTTTTTATTATTAACTGAATTAAGTCTTACTTTTCAAGTTCAAAGTTCAAAAGCTTTATTTATAGACGAATATCAATAATATACAGAAAACATAAGCTCTATTGAGCTTTTATATCGTCTTATTTAAAACATGCACGTTTAAAACAAAGCAAGCAAGCTTCATACACAAGAGCTACACAAAGCAAATCATTACATTGAAGCATATATATACAATATAAATGACATGAAGAAGATAAATATGTTATAATATTATGCAGAAATATTAAAAGTACCGTAAGCAATCAATATTAAAAGCATATAAAACACTTTAAAAACACATAAGCAATTAAAGCACATTAAGCAGAAAAAGCACTATAAATTAAGCATTAATCATTTGCAGGCATTGCCTTGGCATGAACTACCATTCCTGGTAACAATAAGTATAGAAAATTGATTTTGTCTTTATTGTTAATGTAATTTATATTTCTTGCTTGTAATATGTTCAAAATAAATTATTTCATAATTCTAACTCATAATAATAATTTCAAAGGGGGTCACATTGGGGTGTCCTGATCCCTTACTTACTTACTTCAGTGCTTACTGTCCTGTACGCCATTGGCGTGTAGGGCAGTAACGGAGGATTCTTCGTTACAGTTTTTGTAAAATAGTTTTTTTTTAACAAAATTGGGTTGTTTGTCCTAGGCTCAACCTCTTACGTAGAGGGTCGGGTTTTTCTGTCAGGATGTTCCTTCCCTTAGACGATTGCTGCAACTGAACTAACGAGTTCCTTTTATCCGGATTTTCTGTCTGAATTTACTTCCGTAGCCTTTGACTTTTCGTGAGTCATCCACAAGGCAGTGGAGCAATATTTATCCCATAGCTGGGGGCTAGGTTTGCAGGCATCAGGGCGTGTCCAAACACCGGTGGGGCTGCATGCCGTGTATCTGGGGGCCTAGTCTCCTCCGAGACCCTATGGTTCTGCCTGGGATCGTATGATACCCAGTTTACATCTGCCACTTCGAGAAGGATTCAATATCTTGCCACATTGGTCTTACTGCATGAGAGGCTATAACTGGGTCTGATCCCGGATCTCGCTTATTGATTTGTCAGAATCCCGTATCCCGCTTATCATTGTAATAATAGCGCGACTTCGTTTCCCGTTTTCACCGTGTATCATCGGTACAGCGGATAAAAGTACTATCCAAGCGAGCGTGATCGATTTTGACCTGACACAGCAAGAAAATCTTTGTTTTGTTTACATAATATCAATGTGTACTTCAATCTAAACATAATTGTTGTTTTAAGAGATGATTTGGTCGTAGGTTGATGATTTAATTTAGAGAAGTCTCATTATTTCCCCAAAACAAGAACGCTTACTAAAACATGTGCAAATACTTGTCAAAGAAGTTGGCGCTCGTCTCATTCGATATGATTCTATATGCATTGCAACTCTTTTTCTGATAGAAGGCCACTGTGTGTGCATAATAAGTATAGCTGTTTCAATAATTTGCATTGAAATCTTTCATACATAATATGTTATTTTTCGATATTTTATCCCGAAAAGAAGCGTTGTGTACGGTGTATAGCATGTATAGCTGACTTCATAAGTCCTTCTGTACGGTGCATAGTTAAGTGAATGTACGGAGTATAGCTTTTTCACACTTGTTTATTACCCAGAATGTTTCATGGAATGATTTATCCAGTAATCACAGGTAGGTTTATGATAGGTCACTATTACTTTTGCCCTGTATTAGCTTTCATTCATATAAAACATGTAAATGGCTCGACGACTGTATCGAAATTGAAAGTTGGTGTTGACATTCACAACTATTTGCGCATGTAAAAGTTTATTATTCTTATTAGAACATAAAAGTTGTCTTATAAATAGGAAAAAATCGATGCGAAAATTATTTGGGAGCAGGAATTTCAGATGTTGAGAAATGTACAGTGAATGTAGATAAAACAAAACAAAGATGTTCTTACCGTGTCAGGTAAAAATCGATCACGCCCCGCTTGGTTAGTACCTATATCCGCTGTACCGATGATACACGGTGGTTTTTGACTTTGAATATTTTTCTCTAAAAAGTATTTGAATTCTTCGATTAGTTATTCTATAAATACTACATATTTCCGGCATATTATCACAAGGTCATTATACATAGCTGGAAACCAGAGTAACGTGCCACGCTTACAAAAAATAGGCCAATCCCGGATAACCCAATGAGACCAACTTCAAATTACTAACAGAGACATTTAATACAAATGTATTATATGTCTCTGGTACTAAATATGTTTATTTAGAGTCGGCATAGTATACAAACAAGGACATGTTATTGATAATTATTTTCAAATAAAGCATTTAACATCATTTATCATAGTTATATTCTTTTGATAGTCCGAGTTTGTTGATTCAATTTGTATCTTTGAATAATGTTATGTCGGAACCCATGGAAGTTACATGTGGTGTCCCCCAAGGAAGTATCCTTGGACCGCTATTATTTTTAACATATATAAATGATATGTCAATCAATATTGATGAAGACTGTAAATTAATTTTATATGCTGATGATAGCGCTATTTTATATACTCATAAAAATCCAGATATTATTTCTACAAAATTGGGAAAAGTTCTAGAAAAATGGTTAGTAGATAATAAACCGTCTTTCACATCTAGGAAAAACTAAATGTATGCTTTTTGGACCTCCAAAAAAGATTAGATAAAATATTAATTTTCAGGTTAAATGTAATGATCATCTTATCAAATCGGCAAATTGTGTAAAATATTTAGGAGTTCACATTGATATTTTTTTTAAATTGTGAACAAATAGTTTCCAATATCATAAAAAAAGTTAATGCAAGATTAAGATTTTTATATAGAGGAGAAATGCCAAATGTTTGGATACTAGATCAAGGATGACTCTCACATCTGCTCTGATACAATGCTATTTCGATTATTACTGCTCTTCGTGGTATAGTAATCTGGGCAAAGGGATGACAAAAAAATTGCAAGTTGTACAGAATAAGGTGGTGAGATTCATCCTAGGTCTGGGTCCAAGGACTTAGAATTACATGTGATATTTTAGATAAAGTTAATATGCTATGTGTAAAAGATAGAGTTAGTCAACTTAGATTAAACCATGTATTCAATATAAATCATGGACATGCTCCAGAGTATGTATGTGAACATTTTGATTTGAATAATCATAATACCAGAAATGCTGCACATGATAATTATTTTGTACCAAATGTTAAAAACTGTAATAAAAACAGTTTTGTCTATAATGCTATACAAGACTGGAACAAGCTACCAGCCAACCAAAAAAATATATCAAATAGATCTGCTTTTAAGACTGCAATTAAAAATAACAACAAGAAATATAGAAACTGAAGATTTTTTATATGTTTTTTAAGAAAAAATTGATCTTTCTTTTTTTGGTGAAAGTCAAATTTTAACATATAATTTGAAATATTATTTTTATATATTTTCAAACAAGGGACCCCATTGGAAATAAGCTATACTATGTAAGCTTTTATGGGATATCCCAGTCTTCTTTCTAAGCACTGTTTTAACTTATATTATGATACTATTTTAAAAAAGTATATATATATATATATTATTTGTCTTGTTTTGTCTTGTGAATTTTTATATATGTGCTTGAATTTATCTGAATAAAACTATACTATACTATACTATAGTCCGAATTTGTTATAGGTCGAGTAAGTTAGGGCGATTTTGTTATAGGTCGAGTTTGGGTCAGTCCGAGTTTTATATGGGCCGAGTTAACAGGGAGTCGACTTTATTACCGGAAGTTTATCTGGTGAAATATGGCAGCGCTCAGCAAGCTCACACCGCAGAGGTCGGCAATCTTAACCGTAGCCGCTGTAGCTGCTTACTTTCTGTATAAGAAAATTGGTTTGAAACGGAAGACCAGGTATAAAGTTCATGTCCTTCAAACGTTTTCAAAAATTTAAGTCCGTAAGATTCCCTCGCCATTCAAAGAAGCAGTGTCAAAGTCCAACTTTTTGAAAGGTCAGAAAGTAGAACGTATACATTTCAGTCAAATTATCCATAGATATCGACAGCCACCATCACGAATGCGTAGAGACTCTATGAAAATAGGCAGATGCTGTATAATTACCAATTACTGCATGTGATAACTAACCCGTGTACAAAATGTAGGGGTATCCCGTTGTACCAGAACCTAGTCGTTCCATCCTTATTCAATAGGCTCCTTCATGGTTAGTGCAGCCATGTTGAATAGGGGGGCAGATTTTCATAATGGAGGTAAAAATGGTTTGAAAAATACGGGAAAACATTAAAACAGAGCAGTTGCTTGGAAACATGCATAGGATTTCCCGTACTTTCATACTATTTCCACCTCTATCCAAAAAATCAACCCCCTATTCAATATGGCCGAAATAACCGTGAAGTGACCTATTTGGCCCAAATGGATCCGATCCTGAAGGAAATTTTTGGGATCCTAATCATGCTTTAAAAGATGAATGATTTATTTGTATGAAAGTGTAAATTTAACCAGTCAGGGGACTTATTGAAATAAGTGATTTTTAAATCACTTATTTAAGTAGCAAATTCGAAGTTTTGTCACAAATTGTGGTTTTGTAGTTTTACCAAAATTTTAAACACATAGCTTTAAATAATATCTTTTCATTAGTAAAATTGAAAAAAATGAACTTTTTGCCTCTTTTAAGCATCAAGGTTTATGCCTTTGATGCAATCATTTAGCTGCAAATTCTATTTTACTTGAAAAAATGCTATAAAAATGGCTTTACATAATGAACTGATACTTTCTCAACAGATTTTTCCCAGCAGTGGGAGAATTTTTCCTGTAAAATGCAAGGTTTCATCTTATAGATTATGTAATAAAATTCTACTGTTCACGATCAAAATTTCACTGTTCGGGGGTGTTGAAATTAGTGGGGGTTATTAAAATAATGATACTTAAAGAAGTAATTTTTTGGAAGGAAATTGAGGTATGATACTTGAACAAGTGATTTTTATGTCATTATCCTTGATTTAGTACAAGGTCATCACCTGACATGACCCGGTCATCCTATCAACACAGATGTTGGTTCTGATAATTTTAGCAACATAATTAGTTCCTGGATCATTAGTATTCTATATTTAAAGCTACAATAAAATTAAATCACTTAGTCTAGTGATTAATTTGTACTACTTAAATAGGTGATTATTAAAGAAAGACAACTCTTACTTCCAACTTTTATGTACATAATGTTACTTGAATCAGTGATTTAGAAAATCACTCATTTAAGTAAGTCCCTTGACTGTTAACATTGATCATTGTAAACAAATATGATGAGTCACAGACTGGTGAACAGTATCCTCAATGATTGGAAGTTCCTTACCCTAACTCGAAACAGAAGAAAGAGCAAATATTATCCACTGTGAATGTAAATATTCTTTACTTATTTGCAAACAGTCTGATACACTTTATTGATGAATAGCCTCAGAAACATGGTCAATCTGTCTATGTTTCGTATTGTGATCCGATAAAATAAGTAGACATGCTTTTAAGTTCGTGACCTTTGTCTTGGACGGTGGCTTTTGCGCATGTGCAACAATAGATATAGGTCAGGCATATTGTAATATGAGGCAAGCATTACCTGTGAAAGGGGACGAAGTCTATATAAATTATTTTTTTTAATTCAAACATATTTTAAGTTCTAAATCTGTTAAAAAGGAAACGGAAATATCGTAACGTTTCAGATTTTGGTTCTGTTGTTAGGGATTTTAGTTGTGACGTTATTTTAGTTATGAGGTCATATTCAATGTAAACAAAGAAACGCTATCATCAGGTAACGTTTTTTCATATAAAAAAATAATTAGAAATGAAATTGTTATTGTGTTCCTTCCTATATTTTACTGGACTGATAAATATATATTTCACTCAAAGTCTCATGACAAACGACACCGGAAGAAGGAATTAGATTTCTGCGCAAATGCGGGAATTAAAAAAAGTTACATAAAAAAAGTTAATGATTTTGAGTTCATTAGTACAATGAAAATTTCGGGAAATTTTCCCTATTTTTTTTTTTTTTTTTTTTATTGATTTTTCTTCTGTAATAGGGGACTTCGTCTCCTTATTATGTATTTAAACATTACAGAATAAATTTGAGATCAAATAACAAATGAATATCTCGATAAAAAGAGAAATTGGGACATACTAACTCTTTTATTCTCCCTTCATCAATTATTTTAATTTTTACATGTGACTTTCAATGGTCAATTGGAAAGTCCAGAATTAAAACACTTAAAACACGTTTAAGATAACTATAACGATGTCACAATGTCATTAATGCATCAAAATATTTTTTCATTCAATTTGCATTAATGGCACAGGATTAAAATGCTTTTACGAGCCAATAATGGACATGTTTTGTTTTATCAAAATACATCAAATCAATTTCTGATCTTAAAAAATCCACTCACATACAGAATTTAAAAAATAATACTCTTGGCCTTAAAAAAAGGAAAATGAGTGCCACATAGCCTGATATGCATGATATGTGATGACTCATTGCTTAGATGTCAATAACATTGCTGAAAGGATTTTCCCAAGAATTCAACGAAATTCTAGGAGAGGAATAAAACAGTTATCATGGTTATAGTGGAAATAGATGTTTAAACAAATAATATGCAAGAACATAAACAACTTCTCTTTTTAAAGCCGATATTTGTGAACATGCAATGAAAAACATCCGGTTAAGATTATTTGAAGTAGCACGTTGCCGATGATAAATACTTATGCATGACGTTAGGAGTAGTAAAGTGGAACTCCCGAAATGTCATGAACTTACAAGCATTACGAACTTGCAATCATCGACGATACTTGCCTTGAAATTCTTTAGGGGGCTAATGAACACATGATGAAAATACGCCTTATCGCTATTTAGTCCAATCCTGAAAAAACAGTCACTTAGACAACTTCCTGTTTGGGTCATCTGGCGCCAAAACAAAGGTCATCAGTAACGAGCTGAGAGAGGAAAAAATTTAGAAATTTAGAAAGCGAACACTTTGAAACTTTGATAGATTATGATCCACTTTTTCAAAACTCAAATTAAAGTAAAAAAATGTTTTGTTTGAAGTGTTTACGATGGTTTAAACAGGTCTCTTTAAAAAGTGTTATGCATGATACAGTGTTTAAACAGGGCCCCAGACAGCTTCAACTGGATGAAAAAGTTGTGTAATTTCAGAACTTACCCGGAACGGAATAAATAGTGATAAGGTGTATTATGCATCATGTGTTATATGAAAAAGATATAAAAGAATGAATATTGTGAAGGGGGGTTGAATGAAATGGACAGTTGGAATAGGATTTTGAAGTTAGTTGTGAATAAAAATTAATTACAAGCCAGTTTGTTGTTTGTTTGTGTTTTTTTTGTTGGCCCTAATGAAATGGTCAAGTAATAATCTAGACCATTACTGGACCAATTGTCCGGTAAATACGAGCAGACCTTTGGGGTCACAGATCACTGACACTGAGAGGATAACTACTGTTTGCCCAGGTGGCTGCTCTTTCCTTTTTAACTATTTCCTGAAAGCAATTTGAAAGAAGTACACTGGAAGTACATTTTGTAATACCATAATATAAGTAGTTCACAAGTAGAAAACTGATGCCATGAAAATCATGTGGTCTGGATTTTTTTATACTTTTTAGTCATGTTAGTCATGTTAGTAGAGCATATGAATTTTATCTATAGAAGCAGAATTTTATAAGTCCGATGGGAACCCTTGAAAGTGTTTTTCATAAAGGGGCCGAATCGACTTAAAATATGGGCTGAATCAACATGAAACACATGTAGGCCCTTGTCTTTTGATCCACCCTTTTTGATATATTTGTAGTGTTTCCTAAAGGAGCTTTTGGCGTGGTATGGCACCCTGTCATTTTTTGGAAAAAAAATGGCGCCATGCCCCTTTTCTGCCTTATTTTATAACATCCTCCCATAATTGAAGATCAGTTCTGCGATTCATCTATTAGTAAGACCATTTCCCTTTGCACGAAATCAAAATTTGTATGGCCAACATTTTATTGAATTTCAAAATTATGTGTTTGAACCTTTTTGAAGCGACCGAGTACTAATACTTGATTGAATCTAATAAGGACAACATCAGCTTTGTACCTCTACAAATTTAAAATGTAGACAATTTAGAAAGGAACCAGGCGATCGTTTGAGTAATAATTTTACAGTGCATGTGATGAACATTACGTAAACAATCAGCTGTTTGTTTATATTTTTATTTCAAGTATGACCACTTCAACTATTTGGTCAGTCGAAATGTTGGATTAGGGTGACTTTACGATGGCTTTCTTACTGTTATCTAAATAAAATAAAAAAGTTAAGAGAATATTTATTTATTTTGTATACTATTTATATTTGACAGAGCTGAAGAACCAGAAATTAAAGTTGTTATACATGAGGTATGTTGTCTGAATAAGTAGCTTGTATGTTTTGATATGCATGTCAGAGGTATGTGTTGTCTGGTGTAGTTACTTGTATGTTTTGTTGTACATGTCAGAGGTATATATTGTCTGGTGTAGTTACTTGTATGTATTGTTATACATGACAGAGGTATATATTGTCTGGTGTAGTTACTTAGATATAAGAAGATGTGGTATGAGTGCCAATGAGACAACTCTCCATCCAAGTCAAAATTTATAAAAGTAAACCATTATAGGTCACAGTACGGTCTTCAACACGGAGCCTTGGCTCACACCAGTCAGGGATATAACTCTATAGGGTTATTACAGAAAAATAACATGCATTTGATACTGTGGACTAAAAAATCAAAGAACTGCGATAACATATGTATGTTACATGTTTCAAAGGGGCAATATACATCATAAGTTTAGTTAAGATGTGTACAAATTCTATTGATATTACTATTGTCTTTATGTATACTTAACTATAGAAAGATATAACAGTTCATAGTTTGTCAATTTTTCCTAGTACACCTATGTTATTACAGAAAAAATTGCCTGTAATAACTAAAGGGTGTTATCACAGCTTCTCTATATCACTCCAAAGCATTTGCTCAGACACACATCATGCTTAATTACAATGTATTTTAATTTATTGTAAGAAATAATGACCAGAGCATGTAATGAGGTTCTGCACAAGCTTCCCAGTAATTCCCAAGTGTCTCATATATTAAGTTAAATTCCTTTCATAACTAAGCCTTGTTATTATTTATCCCTTAAAAGCCTCGTCTCATTGATTAACCATGGTTAATAAAAATGTAATTAATTTAATTAAAGAATTAGTTATCAATGCTATGCATTTAGTTTCTGCGCAAAGTCTCAAGAGTTCCCTAGAGCCCACTATAAATTGATTTATTTTACTAATTACAAACATATGTTATTACAGATTTAGAAAATTTAAAGAATAAAGAGTAGACAACTCATGAAAGTATCTGTAATAACACACGCAAGTTATTTTCTGTAATAACCCTATAGAGTTATATCTCTGACTGCACACCGAACAGTAAGCTATAAAGGGCCCCAAAAAATTACTAGTGTAAAACCATTCAAACGGGAAAACCAACAGTCTAATCTATATAAAAAACCCTTTTTCTGAAACAATAGTGTAACATCACAACATAGAAAGACACACTATAAAATATCAACTGAAATAGCTTAACTCAATCAAAGGACATATTAACAACATTGAACATACACTGAACAAATAAATTTGACCTATGACACAATGTTAATACAAAATAAATAAACTAAGGGAAGAATAATAAAAGTAACATGTTATATCGGTAAGAAATGTTAAACAATTAAAGAAAAACAATATGCTCGAACAAAAATACCATCCATTTGCAATAACTTTAAACACAGGTAAATGAAAATAATTTTGTTGTTAGGTATATGTGTACAGTACCAATAGAGAAAGGAAATATTTTTACAAAATAAATAATTTTGATGTTCATAGTACGAAGTGAACATTTATAGTTATACCAAACACTTATCAAATCTGGTATATAGACCAGATATAACTTGTATGTTTTGTTATACATGTCAGAGGTATTTGTTGTCTGGTGTAGTTACTTGTATGTTTTGTTGTACATGTCAGAGGTATGTTGTCTGGTGTAGTTACTTGTATGTTTTGTTGAACATGTCAGAGGTATGTTGTCTGGCGTATTTACTTGTATGTTTTGTTATACATGTCAGAGGTATGTTGTCTGGCGTAGTTACTTGTATGTTTTGATATACATGTCAGAGGTATGTTGTCTGGTGTAGTTACTTGTATGTATTGTTATACATGTCAGAGGTATGTTGTCTGGTGTAGTTACTTGTATGTTTTGTTGTTCATGTTAGAGGTATATGTTGTCTGGTGTAGTTACTTGTATGTTTTGTTATACATGTCAGAGGTATGTTGTCTGGTGTAGTTACTTGTATGTTTTGTTATACATGTCAGAGGTATGTTGTCTGGTGTAGTTACTTGTATGTTTGTTATACATGTCAGAGGTATATGTTGTCTGGTGTAGTTACTTGTATATTTTGTTATACATGTCAGAGGTATTTCTTGTCTGGCGTAGTTACTTGTATGTTTTGTTATACATGTCAGAGGTATGTGTTGTCTGGTGTAGTTACTTGTATGTTTTGTTGTACATGTCAGAGGTATGTTGTCTCGTGTAGTTACTTGTATGTTTTGTTATACATGTCAGGGGTATGTTGTCTGGTGTAGTTACTTGTATGTTTTGTTATACATGTCGGATTATGTTGTCTCGTGTAGTTACTTGTATGTTTTGTTGTTCATGTTAGAGGTATATGTTGTCTGGTGTAGTTACTTGTATGTTTGTTATACATGTCAGAGGTATATGTTGTCTGGTGTAGTTACTTGTATGTTTTGTTGTTCATGTAAGAGGTATATGTTGTCTGGTGTAGTTACTTGTTTGTTTGTTATACATGTCAGAGGTATATGTTGTCTGGTGTAGTTACTTGTATATTTTGTTATACATGTCAGAGGTATTTGTTGTCTGGTGTAGTTACTTGTATGTTTTGTTATACATGTCAGAGGTATATGTTGTCTGGTGTAGTTCCTTGTATGTGTTGTTATCCATGTCAGAGGTATATGTTGTCTGGTGTAGTTCCTTGTATGTGTTGTTATCCATGTCAGAGGTATATGTTGTCTGGTGTAGTTCCTTGTATGTTTTATTGTTCATGTCAGAGGTATATGTTGTCTGGTGTAGTTCCTTGTATGTTTTATTGTTCATGTTAGAGGTATGTTGTCTGGTGTAGTTACTTGTATGTTTGTTATACATGTCAGAGGTATGTTGTCTGGTGTAGTTACTTGTCTGTTTTATTGTTCATGTCAGAGGTATATGTTGTCTGGTGTAGTTCCTTGTATGTGTTGTTATCCATGTCAGAGGTATATGTTGTCTGGTGTAGTTCCTTGTATGTTTTATTGTTCATGTCAGAGGTATATGTTGTCTGGTGTAGTTCCTTGTATGTTTTATTGTTCATGTTAGAGGTATGTTGTCTGGTGTAGTTACTTGTATGTTTGTTATACATGTCAGAGGTATGTTGTCTGGTGTAGTTACTTGTCTGTTTTATTGTTCATGTCAGAGGTATATGTTGTCTGGTGTAGTTCCTTGTATGTTTTATTGTTCATGTTAGAGGTATGTTGTCTGGTGTAGTTACTTGTATGTTTGTTATACATGTCAGAGGTATGTTGTCTGGTGTAGTTACTTGTATGTTTTGTTATACATGTCAGGGGTATGTTGTCTAGTGTAGTTACTTGTATGTTTGTTATACATGTCAGAGGTATGTTGTCTGGTGTAGTTACTTGTATGTTTTGATGTACATGTCAGAGGTATGTTGTCTGGTGTAGTTACTTGTATGTTTTGTTATACATGTCAGGGGTATGTTGTCTAGTGTAGTTACTTGTATGTTTTGTTGTTCATGTTAGAGGTATATGTTGTCTGGTGTAGTTACTTGTATGTTTTGTTATACATGTCAGAGGTATGTTGTCTGGTGTAGTTACTTGTATGTTTTGTTATACATGTCAGAGGTATGTTGTCTGGTGTAGTTACTTGTATGTTTTGTTATACATGTCAGAGGTATGTGTTGTCTGGTGTAGTTACTTGTATGTTTTGTTGTACATGTCAGAGGTATGTTGTCTCGTGTAGTTACTTGTATGTTTTGTTATACATGTCGGATTATGTTGTCTCGTGTAGTTACTTGTATGTTTTGTTGTTCATGTTAGAGGTATATGTTGTCTGGTGTAGTTACTTGTATGTTTGTTATACATGTCAGAGGTATGTTGTCTGGTGTAGTTACTTGTCTGTTTTATTGTTCATGTCAGAGGTATATGTTGTCTGGTGTAGTTCCTTGTATGTTTTATTGTTCATGTTAGAGGTATGTTGTCTGGTGTAGTTACTTGTATGTTTGTTATACATGTCAGAGGTATGTTGTCTGGTGTAGTTACTTGTATGTTTTGTTATACATGTCAGGGGTATGTTGTCTAGTGTAGTTACTTGTATGTTTGTTATACATGTCAGAGGTATGTTGTCTGGTGTAGTTACTTGTATGTTTTGATGTACATGTCAGAGGTATGTTGTCTGGTGTAGTTACTTGTATGTTTTGTTATACATGTCAGGGGTATGTTGTCTAGTGTAGTTACTTGTATGTTTTGTTGTTCATGTTAGAGGTATATGTTATCTGGTGTAGTTACTTGTATGTTTTGTTATACATGTCAGAGGTATGTTGTCTGGTGTAGTTACTTGTATGTTTTGTTATACATGTCAGAGGTATGTTGTCTGGTGTAGTTACTTGTATGTTTGTTATACATGTCAGAGGTATATGTTGTCTGGTGTAGTTACTTGTATATTTTGTTATACATGTCAGAGGTATTTGTTGTCTGGTGTAGTTACTTGTATGTTTTGTTATACATGTCAGAGGTATGTGTTGTCTGGTGTAGTTACTTGTATGTTTTGTTGTACATGTCAGAGGTATGTTGTCTCGTGTAGTTACTTGTATGTTTTGTTATACATGTCAGGGGTATGTTGTCTGGTGTAGTTACTTGTATGTTTTGTTATACATGTCGGATTATGTTGTCTCGTGTAGTTACTTGTATGTTTTGTTGTTCATGTTAGAGGTATATGTTGTCTGGTGTAGTTACTTGTATGTTTGTTATACATGTCAGAGGTATATGTTGTCTGGTGTAGTTACTTGTATGTTTTGTTGTTCATGTAAGAGGTATATGTTGTCTGGTGTAGTTACTTGTTTGTTTGTTATACATGTCAGAGGTATATGTTGTCTGGTGTAGTTACTTGTATGTTTTGTTGTTCATGTTAGAGGTATATGTTGTCTGGTGTAGTTACTTGTATGTTTTGTTATACATGTCAGAGGTATGTTGTATGATGTAGTTACTTGTATGTTTTGTTATACATGTCAGAGGTATGTTGTCTGGTGTAGTTACTTGTATGTTTGTTATACATGTCAGAGGTATATGTTGTCTGGTGTAGTTACTTGTATATTTTGTTATACATGTCAGAGGTATTTGTTGTCTGGTGTAGTTACTTGCATGTTTTGTTATACATGTCAGAGGTATATGTTGTCTGGTGTAATTCCTTGTATGTGTTGTTATCCATGTCAGAGGTATATGTTGTCTGGTGTAGTTCCTTGTATGTTTTATTGTTCATGTTAGAGATATGTTGTCTGGTGTAGTTACTTGTATGTTTGTTATACATGTCAGAGGTATGTTGTCTGGTGTAGTTACTTGTATGTTTGTTATACATGTCAGAAGTATATGTTGTCTGGTGTAGTTACATGTCAGAGGTATGTTGTCTGGTGTAGTTACTTGTATGTTTTGTTATACATGTCAGAGGTATGTTGTCTGGTGTAGTTGCTTGTATGTTTTGTTATACATGTCAGAGGTATGTTGTCTGGTGTAGTTACTTGTATGTTTTGTTGTTCATGTTAGAGGTATATGTTGTCTGGTGTAGTTACTTGTATGTTTGTTATACATGTCAGAGGTATATGTTGTCTGGTGTAGTTACTTGTATGTTTTGTTGTTCATGTTAGAGGTATATGTTGTCTGGTGTAGTTACTTGTATGTTTAGTTATACATGTCAGAGGTATTTGTTATCTGGTGTAGTTACTTGTATGTTTTGATATACATGTCAGAGGTATATGTTGTCTGGTGTAGTTACTCGTATGTTTTGTTATACATGTCAGAGGTATATGTTGTCTGGTGTAGTTACTTGTATATTTTGTTATACATGTCAGAGGTATTTGTTGTCTGGTGTAGTTACTTGTATGTTTTGTTATACATGTCAGAGGTATATGTTGTCTGGTGTAGTTCCTTGTATGTGTTGTTATCCATGTCAGAGGTATATGTTGTCTGGTGTAGTTCCTTGTATGTTTTATTGTTCATGTTAGAGGTATGTTGTCTGGTGTAGTTACTTGTATGTTTGTTATACATGTCAGAGGTATGTTGTCTTGTGTAGTTACTTGTATGTTTTGATGTACATGTCAGAGGTATGTTTTCTGGTGTAGTTACTTGTATGTTTTGTTATACATGTCAGGGGTATGTTGTCTAGTGTAGTTAATTGTATGTTTGTTATACATGTCAGAGGTAAGTTGTCTGGTGTAGTTACTTGTATTTTTTGTTGTACATGTCAGAGGTATATGTTGTCTGGTGTAGTTATTTGTATGTTTTGTTATACATGTCAGAGGTATGTTGTCTGGTGTAGTTACTTGTATGTTTGTTATACATGTCTGGTGTAGTTACTTGTATGTTTGTTATACATGTCAGAGGTATATGTTGTCTGGTGTAGTTACATGTCAGAGGTATGTTGTCTGGTGTAGTTACTTGTATGTTTTGTTATACATGTCAGAGGTATGTTGTCTGTTGTAGTTGCTTGTATGTTTTGTTATACATGTCAGAGGTATGTTGTCTGGTGTAGTTACTTGTATGTTTTGTTGTTCATGTTAGAGGTATATGTTGTCTGGTGTAGTTACTTGTATGTTTGTTATACATGTCAGAGGTATATGTTGTCTGGTGTAGTTACTTGTATGTTTTGTTGTTCATGTTAGAGGTATATGTTGTCTGGTGTAGTTACTTGTATGTTTAGTTATACATGTCAGAGGTATTTGTTGTCTGGTGTAGTTACTTGTATGTTTTGATATACATGTCAGAGGTATATGTTGTCTGGTGTAGTTACTCGTATGTTTTGTTATACATGTCAGAGGTATGTGTTATCTGGTGTAGTTACTTGTATGTTTTGATATACATGTCAAAGGTATGTTGTCTGGTGTAGTTACTTGTATGTTTTGTTGTACATGTTAGAGGTATATGTTGTCTGGTGTAGTTACTTGTATGTTTTGTTATACATGTCAGAGGTATGTTGTCTGGTGTAGTTACTTGTATGTTTTGTTATACATGTCAGAGGTACATGTATATGTTGTCTGGTGTAGTCACATGAAAATAGAAGCTTTTATCCGTAATTATACACAAGGTATGTTATCTGTTGTAATTGAATGAAATTAGAAGCTGTTATCCATATTACCATACATGCATTAAATATGTGAAACAGTGTGATTGCTTATTTTGAGTGATTTTTTGAAAAAGGGAAGTTTGCTGTTTTTGGGTGATTCATTGTGAAACAAGGAGATTGCTTGTGTTGAGTGATTCACTGTGAAACAAGGTGATTGCTTGTGTTGACTGATTCACTGTGAGTAAGGGTGATTGCTGGTGTTGACTGATTCACTATTAGTCAGGATGATTGCTGGTGTTGACTGATTCACTATGAGTCAGGGTGATTGCTGGTGTTGACTGATTCTCTATGAGTCAGGATGATTGCTGGTGTTCACTGATTCACTATGAGTCAGGATGATTGCTGGTGTTGAGTGATTTACTTTGAGTCATGATGATTGCAGGTTTTGAGTGATTCACTATGAGTCGGTGATTGCTGGTGTTGACTGATTCACTTTGAGTCAGGGGGATTGCTGGTGTTACATGATTGACTTTGAGTCAGGGGGATTGCTGGTGTTGAGTGATTCACTATGAGTCAGGGTGATTGCTGGTGTTGAGTGATGCACTATGAGGGTGATTGCTGGTGTTGATTGATTCACTGTGAGGGTGATTGCTGGTGTTGACTGATTCACTATGAGTCAAGGGGATTGCTGGTGTTACATGATTAACTTTGAGTCAGGGTGATTGCTGGTGTTGAGTGATTCACTATGAGTCAGGTTGATTGCTGGTGTTGAGTGATGCACTGTGAGGGTGATTGCTGGTGTTGACTGATTCATTGTGAGGGTGATCGCTGGTGTTGACTGATTCAGTGTGAGTCAGGGTGATTGCTTGTGTTGAGTAATTCACTGTGAGTCAGGCTGATTGCAAGTGTTGAGTGATTTATTGTGAAACATGACAATTGCTTTTGATGAATGATACACTGAGTAGCAGGTTGGTTGCTGGTGTTGAGTGATTCACTGTGAAACAGTGGGATTGCTGATGATGAGTTATTCACTATGAAGCATCTGTGATCTCCATGACCTATTTTATGATTGTGCACTGAAACAGTGCACTGATTGCCGTTCATTGTAGAAACTTTCCATTTTTCAGACTGGTGGTAAGAAAGAAAGAGCTGCAGTAGATCTGGATTTCTTCAAGTGAGTTTTTTGTTATAAGGCTTCTTAGAATGTAGCTATATGTTTACATTTGATATGTATTATACATATTTATCTCACATTGGGAAATTTAGTGACATTGTGATTGGTTTAACGCCATCACATGGTGACCCCTATGGATACGTAGGGGTTAAGAACATTTCATAGGGGTATTATTGCATCTACTTTTAATGGTGACCTCATCTATAAATGTTATTGTATTTCATTGTTTATATTTATAAATAACTTGGCAGGAAAAGTTCTGTGTGTGATAAATTCGCTATAAGGTTCGCTTCTTACCCTATTCTTGCAATCACAACAAATGTCTGAAGAAAACATTAAATACATGCACATTGCCTGTCCTTTTCTTACAATCACAACCAGTGTCTGAAGAAAACATAAAATACATGCACCTTGCCTGTCCTATTCTTACAATCACAACAAATGTCTGGAGAAAACATAAAATACATGCACCTTGCTTGCCCTATTCTTACAACTACAACAAGTGTCAGAAGAAAACATAAAATACATGCACCTTGCCTGTCCTATTCTTACAATCACAACAAATGTCTGAAGAAAACATAAAATACATGCACCTTGCTTGCCCTATTCTTACAACTACAACAAGTGTCAGAAGAAAACATAAAATACATGCACCTTGCCTGTCCTATTCTTACAATCACAACAAATGTCAGAAGAAAACATAGAATACATGCACATTGCCTGTCCTATTCTTACAACTACAACAAGTGTCAGAAGAAAACATAAAATACATGCACCTTGCCTGTCCTATTCTTACAATCACAACAAATGTCAGAAGAAAACATAGAATACATGCACATTGCCTGTCCTATTCTTACAACCACAACAAGTGTCAGAAGAAAACAGAATACATGCACATTGCCTGTCCTTTTCTTACAACCACAACAAGTGTCAGAAGAAAACATAGAATACATGCACATTGCCTGTCCTATTCTTACAACCACAACAAGTGTCAGAAGAAAACATAGAATACATGCACATTGCCTGTCCTATTCTTACAACCACAACAAGTGTCAGAAGAAAACAGAATACATGCACATTGCCTGTCCTTTTCTTACAACCACAACAAGTGTCAGAAGAAAACAGAATACATGCACATTGCCTGTCCTATTCTTACAACCACAACAAGTGTCAGAAGAAAACAGAATACATGCACATTGCCTGTCCTATTCTTACAACCACAACAAGTGTCATGCACATTGCCTGTCCTATTCTTACAACCACAACAAGTGTCAGAAGAAAACATAGAATACATGCACATTGCCTGTCCTATTCTTACAACCACAACAAGTGTCAGAAGAAAACATAGAATACATGCACATTGCCTGCCCTATTCTTACAACCACAACAAGTGTCAGAAGAAAACATAGAATACATACACTGTGCCTGCCCTATTCTTACAACCACAACAATTGTCAGAAGAAAACATAGAATACATGCACATTGCCTGTCCTATTCTTACAACCACAACAAGTGCCATGCACATTGCCTGTCCTATTCTTACAACCACAACAATTGTCAGAAGAAAACATAGAATACACACACTGTGCCTGCCCTATTCTTACAACCACAACAAGTGTCAGAAGAAAACAATACATGCACATTGCCTGTCCTATTCTTACAACCACAACAAGTGTCAGAAGAAAACATAGAATACATGCACCTTGCCTGTCCTATTCTTTCAACCACAACAAGTGTCAGAAGAAAACAGAATACATGCACATTGCCTGTCCTATTCTTACAACCACAACAAGTGTCAGAAGAAAACATAGAATACATGCACATTGCCTGTCCTATTCTTACAACCACAACAAGTGTCAGAAGAAAACAGAATACATGCACATTGCCTGTCCTATTCTTACAATCACAACAAGTTTCAGAAGAAAACATAGAATACATGCACATTGCCTGTCCTTTTCTTACAACCACAACAAGTGTCAGAAGAAAACATAGAATACATGCACATTGCCTGTCCTATTCTTACAACCACAACAAGTGTCAGAAGAAAACATAGAATACATGCACATTGCCTGTCCTATTCTTACAACCACAACAAGTGTCAGAAGAAAACATAGAATACATGCACATTGCCTGTCCTATTCTTACAACCACAACAATTGTCAGAAGAAAACATAGAATACATACACCTTGCCTGTCCTATTCTTACAACCACAACAAGTGTCAGAAGAAAACATAAAATATATGAATTATAATGATTACTCTTAAAATTAAATAAAAACTTCTGTACTAGTTGATAATTTATCACATTCATTTGTTTTAATTACTTAACAGCAGTTGTGTTGATGGTCAAGTTTAAGTTATCGACAGTTACAACTTTGTTTATTTTCAGGAGACTATGGTCCTTACTAAAAATCCTCATACCTGGATGGGTAACAAAAGAGGTAAGTTTGTAGATGAAACAGAAAACATTCAAGTAAATAGATATATATATATACACAGAATTAAATCCATTTGAAGCACTTTTTAGGAATTACAGGCAAAACATTTTGAAAGTCTAAAATCTACGAACACTGATACATTGCATTTTGGTACATGACATAAAACAGTAGATGTGGTATGATTTGAGACTATCAATCGAAGACCAAACGTTGTGAATGTAAGCAACTGTAAATCCCTGTGTTGTCTTCAACAATGAGTAAAACTGGTATGTTTAATATAATTAGCTAAAAAATGTTCCCTATCATGATCCTATATATGTGAAACAAGAGTGTACTCATATGCCTTTGACATGCAGTATTTTCGACTTGCATAGTCATGATAGTGTGTCCACTGTTTAAATGACCTTGATTGTTTCCATACAATGTATATGCAAAGTAGTAAGGGGCACTTTAAATGGTTTTGTTTGTCAGTCTCTCCACCAGAGACCAAATGACATAGAAGTTAACAGATATAGGTCACCATACGGCCTTCAACAATGAGCAAAACTCATACCGCAGAGTCGGGTATAAAAGGCCCTGAAATGACTTATCTTTATTAAAACAAAAGAAAAGTGAATATAATAGAAAAAAGAAAATGAAAATGCATGTAAGAATGATTAATCATGTGAAAGAATGTACTTCCCTTATTGACCTATCTAGTAAAACCAAAGTCATCTGATTTTAACGAAGCATATCTATGCATTAAGTTGTACATGATTAAGTTGTATTGTGTAACTATCATATAGTTAGAGCAGACACATGTATGTAACTTCAGTTGACTCAGTGATATTGGAAAGATGATTTGAGTCAATTTAGTGGACTGATGAACATCTTTGATTGATTTTAAGTGTAAATAATGCACCATACTTGAGACACTGCACATGACGTTTTAAGTTATAGCCATTATATTCTTTTCAGGCGTTTTATATGACTTTAGTAGCAGCTTCACTTATAGCCAGAACTTATGCAGACGTATGGATGATACAGAATGGTACATCTATAGAAAGGTTAGTGTTAGTTACATTTAGTCTTATATAGAACATCGATATATTACAAAACATCTCCAGAGTTAAATTTGAAGACATTTGATTGTTAATCAGATAACAGTAAAATGAAACTGAAAAGATTTGTAAGGAATTGAAAGTGTTACAAACCACAAAAAAAATACATGCATGTAATTAAGCCATCATTGGAGATCAAATTATTGATTAAAATACGTATTTCATTTAAACTGTGTTGTAGAGACTCTCCACATACAAATGTAAAATTTATTGGAATTATTTATATAAATAAGAGAAAAAATGGTCGATGTGCAGGAGACAATGTCCAAAAATATTAAGTCTATCGTATGGTGTTTATGTTGAGTTTCGAATTATGCTATAATTAATCTCCAAAAGGTGATAGGTGATATATAGGCAAGTGTATAAATATGGTAAACAACCTATTTATAAACACAAAACCAAGAAGGTACAAATCAAATACCACAAATATATCTATTTGGTATCTTATTCTTGGCAATGGATAGGTACAGTAATTTAGGCAGTGTTCTGGGACAGTGGTCTCCTGGCTTTTGCTCGGTACATATAAATATGGCACGGTCCTCCTGGCTTTTGCCAGGTACAATTAAATATGGCAGATCTGATTGGATTACATTGTAGTCTCATTCTCCTTTCGGTTAGATACAAGCAAAATATACAGACATAAAATAAACTACATAACAGAGTTTGCTATAATTCGTAAGTATAAATCATGGAATTGACACATACCTTGATAAAAAAGAATGAAGATACCAGATCTAGAGGGGAGGCAATTAAAAATCATAAGTGGAAGAAGAAAAAATGTCCAAAAGAACAAATAAAGAAAAGACAAACAACAGTTCTCAAATCAAAATACAGAAAAGATTAAGTATAACATATAAACAGATGTTGTGATAGAATGTAAACATTTCTCTGTATGTCCCCACTGCTGCGGAAGGGGGGGCATTGAGTGTTACCCTTTGTTCTCTAACTTTAGTTTGCCTCAACCAAATGTTATGAAACTTATACACAATGCTTACCACAAAACTCAGATCAAAATTCGAATTTGGGTGGCCTCAATTTTACCGTTCTTGAATTATGTCCCTTTATAACATTATATGCAAGCGGGGGCATCATCTGTGTCCATGGAAGCATTCTCCATTTATTATTTGATATTTTATGATTTACAGTGCTATTATTGGGAGAGATATGTCCTTATTCAAAGTGCATCTTTACAAATTTATCTACGCAATGCCATTGGTGAGTATGTGTACGAATGTATCTATGTAAAGCCATGAATAGTAATTATACAAATCTATCTATGTAAAGCCATGAATAGTAATTGTACAAATCTATCTATATAAAGCCATGAATAGTAATTGTACAAATCTATCTATGTAAAGCCATGAATAGTAATTGTACAAATCTATCTATGTAATGCCATGAATAGTAATTGTACAAATTTATCTATGTAAGCCATTGGTGAGCATGTGTACAAATGTATCTTTGTAATGCCATGAATAGTAATTGTACAAATGTATCTATGTAATGCCATGAATAGTAATTGTACAAATGTATCTATGTAATGCCATGAATAGTAATTGTACAAAATCTATGTAATGCCATGAATAGTAATTGTACAAATTTATGCAATGCCATTATATAATTAGTGAGTATTTGTACAAATTTATAACCCATAAGTGAAGATAAACATGGCCCAAAAAAACTGACGAAATTACAAACAACAGTCCATAAATTACTATACAGAAAACTATAGAATTGAGAAAGACTAACCTCATCAAAAACCTGTGGTTAATTCATGTTCTTCCTGAAGAGAAAATTACACCAATGCAACTTACTTAAAGCAAAACAAAGATCAGATATTTTGTGCAGCCAAAAAATAGTTTTTATAGAACATTGGCAGTGCAGATCTACTGTACTTAACATGAACATTTTAAATTATTTTCAGGAAGTATTACAAAAATTGTCATCTTTTAGTCTTCTTTCTTTTGACTTACAAATTTAATACAATTCAATCTGTAACTACAAGACCAATCTCTATATCAAGGACAAATGAGCTGTAAGCTGTATTTGTAATAGTCTTTAAGTAAATAATATCAAACTCTTGTTTTCCATTCTCAATTATTATTCTCCCTGAAAAAAAATGTTGAAGCATAATGTAATTGCTTTGTCTGTACTTTCTTCAATCTGTGTGTTAAAAACAAAAGGTTTCCAGGTGATAACTGGAGTATCCCTCGCTTGATTAGAATGAAACTTATACATGGAAGATAAAATAAAGGGGAATAAGCCTATTGATTTTGGGGTCAATATGTCAAAGTTCATGTTAAAAATGGAGAAAAAGGGAAGAATAGTTTCTGGATGTTAATATTTTTACTTTGTGTGTGCTTCCATACCTGGCAGGTTAACCAGGGTCAATGGAACCCCTGGCTTAACAAACAAGGACCCAGAAGAGGGTTTTGTATATCATGACTTTGAAGCAAGCATTATTGTATGACAGCTATATATCATGTACATAAAAATTGAATCAGAAGTTTTAGATCTATGAAATCTCTTGAAACATTTTTCGTTTTTAAATTTGATATTATTGACCATTTGTCTCTCAAGACAGATGGATTAGACAGGGTTAGGTAAACCTTGCCCTATTTTTTACATGATTGATGGTGTTTGAGAATGGAACAAAGAATCGGTAACCTATTAAAATATTGATGTTTAATAGATAGGAAGTTACTGCCTGAAATCATAGGTAAGATATATTGATAGGAATATTTTGTTTTCTGTTGTAGATATCAGTTGTAAACAACATGCTGAAGGTAAAGTTTATATTTACTTATTAATATAAGTATTGTTCAGTCACTCAAAAAAAATAATATTTTGTTGATTAATTCACACAAACTTACATTAGACAGTGATGTAGAAAAAATATTGTGTAAAGCATCGAAATAGAATGTTCTGATATACACTTGAAATCATTGTATTAGTTAAATGCATTAGTAATTGATGTTATACTTTGTTTGATTTACATTGGCATCTCAAATATAGTTGTCTTCTTAGGCACCAAACTCCTTTATTGATCTAATTTTTTGTATTTTGAAACCTATGTTTACAGGTCATTTCATGCAATTATCTGGTATGGAATAATATCAAATATGATTTGTATAATATATTTCAGTTATTTGTTCTGGTATTAATGTCACATTCCAGTTTTCTCATGATAGAATTTACCAAAAATGTTATGTCTGCCTAAAATAGTATAAAACCCCAACATTTTTTTAAGATACTGGATAGATAGGAAGGAGGTAAGTATGTTGGATTATAAATAGATTTTAATTGAAAAAATTGAAAAAATTACAATTTTATCAAATATAAATTACGAGTAATGATATTATACTACAGTTATATTTCTATTTCAGTATGGTTTAAATGAGTTGAAGTTGAGGTTTAGAACCAATCTGTCTCAACACTTATATGATAAATACTTAAGGTAAATTGAACTATGACCTTAAAAGGTCAAGGCTGAATCCAAGCCCCAATCCACCGATAAAAATCTATGATGCACTCAAAAGGTCTTGTAATGGCAATTCAGAATGCATATGGTTTTAAGGGATGTAAATCTGAACACATTTTGATATATTCAATAATAGTGCACTATATATATGTGTGTGTGATGGCTTGGGTTCATGTTTTGTCTCCTGATATTTTAATTTGTTAGATATATTGAAAACAGTTATTAAAAGATACATTCATTAACCATATACATTTAATTTGCAATGACAATACCTTTCCATTAATGCCATCATGACAATACCTTTCCATTAATGCCATCATGACAAGACCTTATCAATGCCATCATGACAATACCTTTCCATTAATGCCATCATGACAACACCTTTCCATTAATGCCATCATGACAATACCTTTCCATTAATGCCATCATGACAACACCTTTCCATTAATGCCATCATGACAATACCTTTCCATTAATGCCATCATGACAACACCTTTCCATTAATGCCATCATGACAATACCTTTCCATTAATGCCATCATGACAATACCTTACCATTAATGCCATCATGACAAGACCTTTCCATTAATGCCATCATGACAATACCTTTCCATTAATGCCATCATGACAATACCTTTCCATTAATGCCATCATGACAAGACCTTACCATTAATGCCATCATGACAATACCTTTCCATTAATGCCATCATGACAATACCTTTCCATTAATGCCATCATGACAATAACTTTCCATTAATGCCATCATGACAATACCTTTCCATTAATGCCATCATGACAACAACTTTCCATTAATGCCATCATGACAACACCTTTCCATTAATGCCATCATGACAACACCTTTCCATTAATGCCATCATGACAATACCTTACCATTAATGCCATCATGACAATACCTTTCCATTAATGCCATCATGACAATACCTTTCCATTAATGCCATCATGACAAGACCTTACCATTAATGCCATCATGACAAGACCTTACCATTAATATCATCATGACAATACCTTTCCATTAATATCATCATGACAATACCTTACCATTAATATCATCATGACAATACCTTTCCATTAATGCAATCATGACAATACCTTTCCATTAATACAATGTGTTTGTTGTGCCTTAATAACACTTTTTTACGGTGTGTCCTTATGTTATACTGTTACACCACTGTCCCTGCAGATTAAGGGAGGGGGACCACTAATAATCATGTTAAACCCCACCACCCACTTTCTTTATATGTGCTTGTCCCAAGGCATGAGACTGTATCCCAGTGGTTAGTAATTGGTTGCTGTCTGTTATAATTATTCTGTGTTAGCAGTAGTAAGAAAATGTCAATAGCCAAAGTGGTTAACCACTATTTTTTTGCTTAGCCATATTTTCATGTGATAAGCCACAACTTTTGTGTCACCGTTGAGGATCACGTAGTATCCCGAAACTGCTAGAGGGGTTTGGGAGCATGCCCCCCATGGACATTTTGGAAAATTAGATGTGAAATCTGCACTCTGAGGTTACATTTTTGTAACTGGAAGTGTATATAACTTATCAAAAATGTCTCCAGGTCAGATGAAAAATTCTCCTTCTCTTCAATAAATCAAAGTGGGGGATTTTTAAAACAATAATAATGTCCCTTTTCGTTTTCTTGGATTCGAATCCTCCGTGAACATATGATCTTTATCTGATTCTTTGGGTCAGGGACCTTACAAGGTCAGATTCATCAGCCATTTTAAAAACATTAAAAGTAAAAGAAAACCTGATATCGGAAACAGATTTTCGCACCAGAAAGATCTACAAAAAATCAATTGCGGAATTCGTAAATTGACTCATAATTCCTACCTATCCTCTTCGCTCCTGGTGGAGCATAAGGTCACCACAAGTTTTAGCAATCTAGTTCTGTCTTTAGCCTTTGTTTCGGCTTCTCCCCAGGTCATGTCAAGCTCCTTCAGTTCTGCTTCAATCGTTCGACGCCAGGTGGTTTTGGGTCTTCCTCTTGGTCTCTTCCCCTGGGGTGTTCATCTAAGAGCTATCCTGGTTATATTAGATACAGGCATTCTGAGAACATGCCCCAGCCATCTGAAGCGCCTCTGTTGTTACTTGTATTTCTTTGAGGATACATGTGGACTTAGTCATTCCAGGGAGATGTTCATTTGAAATAAGGTTTGGCCAGAAGATTTTGCAAATTCGCCTCAGACAATTGTGGTGGAAACTTGAGAGCGATCTCATATCTGTTTTTGTTTCTTTCCAGCATTCACTTCCATACAGAAGGACAGATTTAACATTACTGTTATTTAGCCTTACTTTTGTTTTCTTGTTGTATTGTTTGGACTTCCAAATGGGTCGTAGTCTTTGAAATGCAGATCTTGCCTTGGCTAGCCTACTTTTAATGTCTTTTTGTGTTGGATCTTCTGTACTAACCACAGTTCCTAGATAAGTAAATTTATCTACCTGTTGGATTTCTGTGCCCTCAGCTTTTAGTCTTAAGTTTGATGTTGTGTTAAGTCGCATTTCTTGGGTCATTTGACTCATAATATATAGTAGTTATTGCCCTTAAATGATGATTTTTATCATTTTTGACTTACTTGACGAAGTCAAAAAGTGAGACATAGGTATGCTGTTTCCGGCGGCGGCGGTGGCAGCGTCAACAATGTATTAGATTGTGATTAGGTCTAGTTTGTGGTGAACCACAAGTTGTAGGTCAATCATATTTGGTATACAGTTGTATTAGCATTCGCACATCTCATTTCCATGGAGATTATTCGGCCCTGCCCCCTCAGTCATGGTCTATTGACTTTGAAACTTTTGCTTATTTTACATGTATTAGTTTGTGATTAGGTCAGTTTATGGGGAACCATTAGTGGTAGGTCAATGATATTTGGTATGCAGTTGTATAAGCATTGGCATATCTCATTTCCATGGAGATTATTTAGCTCAGCCCCCCTTAGTCATGGTCTATTGACTTTAAAAATTTTGCTTAGTTAACATGTATTAGTTTGTGATTAGGTCAGTTCAAGGGGAACCATTAGTGGTAGGCCAATGTTAATTGGTATTCAGTTGTATAAGCATCAGTACATCTCATTTCAATGGAGAATATTTGGCACGATACCCTCAGTTGTGGCCTGTTGACTTTGAAACTTTTGCTTAGTTTACATGTATTAGTTTGTGATAAGAGCAGTTTAAGATGAACTGCTAATGTTAAGTCAATGATATTTGGTATGCAAATTTATTGGCATTTGTAAGTATTGTTTCCATGGAGATTATATAGCTCCACCCCCTCTTCATGGTTCATTGATTTTGAAACTTTTACATAGTTTACAAGTTAATGTTTGTGTTTAGGTTTGTTTAAAGGGAATAACTTATAATAAGTCAATGATATTTGGTATGCAGTTGTATTAGCATTGGCGCATCTCATTTACATGGAGATGGTTTATATTAGCCATGTACCTCAGTCATGGTTCATTGACTATGAATATTAGCCTAACTTGTTAAGTATTGCCATTTTAATTTCAACATTTGCATAATCAAAATTTCAAAAAAGCGAGACATATCTCTCTGATAACAGTTTATTTGTCTAGCCAGTATGAGAGACATAGGTATTACAATCTGGAGGTGGTGGTGACGACGTAAACTTTATATTTCATGAGGTAGAAGACCTGGATGCTTCCTACCTTGTGTGCAGATACCTTATGTTACGAAGTTTCCGTCTGTCATATGTCCATTGTCCTTGACCTCATTTTCATGGTTCAGTGACTGCTTGAAAAAAAATTAGAGTTTTTTTTGTTTAGTGAAATACTGACTTATTATGAGTAATAGGATGATTATATTTGGTATATATGGGTCTACATGTCCATCAGGTAGGGCTTACCTGACCTCAACCTTATTCCATGGATCAGTGATCAAAGTTAAAGTTACGTGGTCAAGTTTGTATCTCAGATTTCATGGTTCATTGGACAATGTTTATTTTTTTTTTTGGTCTATTTCTCAGTTATTATAAGCAATAGGTCAATTATATTTAGAGTATGGAACAATTGTGAGGTGTACATGTTCTGTCTGGCAAGTTTCATATGACCGTGACCTCATTTTCATGGTTCATTGGTCAATGATAATTTTTCATAATTTTGTAAGTTTATCAGATGCTATAAGCAATAGGTCAACTAAATTTGATGTATAGAATGATTGTAATTAAGGTGTACATGTCTGTCTTGTAGGGTTCCTATAACCTTGACCTCATTTCATGGTTTATTGGTCAATGTTAAGATTTTGTGGTTTGATCTGTCTCTCATGTACTATTAGCAATAGGACCACTATATTTGGTGTATGGAATGATTGTAAGGTGTACATGTCTGTCTGGCATGGTTCATCTGACCGTCATTTAATCTTCATAGTACATTGATAATGTTAAGTTTATGAGATACTTGTATTAAAACCTTCATATTACAGACTTTCAACATGAAATCAATGATCAATAAGACAGGTGAGACATTTCAGAGTGTGCACTCTTGTTTAATGTTTTTGCCTGTTATCTTGAAAACTATAATGGATAGGTAGAAACTTAAAAAATCAAAGATGATCAGCAAAACAAGATCTGCAAATAGGTCAGGCTGGCCAACTAACATTTAGATAAATATGTCAGTTGTCTTCAAATAGGAGTTATTTGGCTTGAATGACAATTTTAACACTTTTTTGTGTTTTGGGCAAAAACTATAGAAGATAGGGAGAAACTGTAAACAGAAAAAATGATCATCAATTTGGGTTCAACAAAATACAGATTTTAGTCATGAATTATAAATAATATTAGTCTAAAATGTTTGAGGGTGCCCATTTGGTAAGGTGCACAAAGACCTAGTGACACAGGATCTTTAGAACCTGTAGTTGTTCTTAGGAGAATTTGGTGTTAGTGACAGAACTTTGATAGTCTTTGAGAATTATTCACAGCTTTGTCTAAACCCCAGTCTAAGATTAATTAGATTTTATCCAATACATTACCAAAAGGGTCTAATTAGTCATACTGCTGTATCATTAGCCGGTCAACACTTCGGGTTGTGATTCCAAAACCCTGCATGTTGCAGGTGCATTCGACTCAATCTTAATTGACTAGGCTTGTCAGTTTTCCTGCCAGAGGTAGGTGGTTCTCTGGGCATTCTGGCTTCCTCCACCAATAAAAACTGACCTCCACGAAATAGCCAGTAGGGCTGAAAGTGGCGTTAAACACTAATCAATCAACCTATATGTTAAAAGATTTGAAATTGTAAATATGAGATGAAGTATACTGATATATATATATATGAAAAGATTTTGATTAAACTAAATATAAGTTAAAAATATGAAAATATTTCAATTTCAGGGGGTTCACATACTATAAAATGAGTAATTTAGATAACAGAATATCTAATGCTGATCAGTTACTCACTCAAGATGTAGAAAAGTTCTGTGATGCTGTTGGAGAGTTATACTCTAATCTGAGTAAGGTAAGGGTCAGTTACTCACTCAGGATGAAGAGAAGTTCTGTGGTGCTGTTAGAGAGTTATACTATTATCTGAGTAAGGTAAGGGTCAGTTACTCACTCTGGATGAAGAGAAGTTCTGTGATGCTGTTAGAGAGTTATACTTTTATCTGAGTAAGGTAAGGGTTAGTTACTCACTCAGGATGAAGAGAAGTTCTTTAATATTTTTGGAGAGTTAAACTCTAATCTGAGAAAGGTAAAATTCAGTTACTCACAAAGGATGTAAAGATGTTATATGATATTGTTAGAGAGTTATACTCTTATCTGAATAAGGAAAGGATCAGTTACTCACTCAGGATGACGAGAAGTTCTTTAATATTTTTGGAAAGTTAAACTAATCTGAGTAAGGTAAAGGTCAGTTACTCACAAAGGATGTAAAGAAGTTCTTTGATACTGTTAGTTGTACTCTTATCTGAGTAAGGAAAGGGTCAGTTACTCACTCAGGATGAAGAGAAATTCTGTGATGCTGTTAGAGAGTTATACTATTATCTGAGTAAGGTATGGGTCAGTTACTCACTCAGGATGAAGAGAAATTCTGTGATGCTGTTAGAGAGTTATACTATTATCTGAGTAAGGTAAGGTTCAGTTACTCACTCAGGATGAAGAGAAATTCTGTGATGCTGTTAGAGAGTTATACTATTATCTGAGTAACTGTAAGGGTCAGTTACTCACTTTGGATGAAAAGAAGTTCTGTGGTGCCATTAGAGAGTTATACTATTATCTGAGTAAGGTAAGGGTCAGTTACTCACTCAGGATGAAGAGAAGTTCTGTGATGCTGCTAGAGAGTTATACTATTATCTGAGTAAGATATGATTCAGTTACTCACAAAGGATGAAGAGAAGTTCTGTGATGCTGTTAGAGAGTTATACTATTATCTGAGTAAGGTAAGGGTCAGTTACTCACTCAGGATGAAGAGAAGTTCTGTGATGCTGTTAAAGAGTTATACTATTATTTGAGTAAGGTATGGGTAAGTTACTCACTCAGGATGAAGAGAAGTTCTGTGATGCTGTTAGAGAGTTACCCGGTATACTATTTTCTGAGTAAGGTATGGGTCAGTTACTCACAAAGGATGAAGAGAAGTTCTGTGATGCTATTAGAGAGTTATACTATTATCTGAGTAAGGTATGGGTCAATTACTCACAAAGGATGAAGAGAAGTTCTGTGATGCTGTTAGAGAGTTATACTATTATCTGAGTAAGGTATGGGTCAGTTACTCACTCAGGATGTACAGAAGTTCTGGGATAGTGTGGATGAGTAATACTCTAATCTTAGTAAGGTAAAGAGTTAGTTACTGTTAATTAGATAGCGTCTAGTCTAAGATGAAAATGCACATGAAATGCAGATAAACATTATCGAGTCCATGCATTGTTAATTGTTTATTTTATACTTTTTGTAATTTGGATATAAGTTTTAGTGTTTTATTAATCAAATATGAGAATTTGAGTCACATCAGTAAACATGACTTTGATAGCTCCTTCAACAGCTGATGATAATACTTAAAAGATATTTTATATTTTCAGCCGTTACTGGATGTAGGGTTATACACAATTAAGTTAACTGGCAGTATTGGAGCACAGGTAAATATATATTAAACCCCTACTCTGAGGAGGTTTACTGATTTTCATCTGTTCATCTTCCTCCTGTCCTTCCCATCAAATTTTGGTTGCACTTTTCTCAGGAACTACAAATCAGAACTTCCTGAAATTAAATTTCATCTTTATGTGTGCATGCTTTACTTTCAGATGCATTTTCGAAAAAAGTAAAATGTTTTAAAACACAAAATTAAGTACCTTGGATAACTTTTTCAAAACAAGAAAAATGTGTAAACAAGAAAACAGGAAAAAAAAACATTAATATGATATTAATGTAATTGTACATTTTGTCAAATTTAAACTAAAATATTGTTTTGGTTAATTTTTTAAATTTCTTTCTATTTTGAAGAATATGTACATTCAAGAAGTGTTATTTACTGTTTATTTGATCTAAATCTCTTTATCAATTACTTACTTTGAATCTCTATAGTTTTGATATTGTTTTATTTCAGGGTCCAGCAACTATGTTAGGATATTTAGCAGTTTCGGGACTTATCTTAACAAGGTAATTTATTTCAGGGTCCAGCTGTTATGTATAAATATTTAGAAGTTTATGGACTTATCTTAACAACGTATGTAAACTGCCAGCCCTTTACCAGAGGAAACATGATTTTCTTATATTTATATGTTTGCCAGTCTTAATTTTTATCTTGTCTACTCTGAAGTAAAATGCAGCTTTCCTGTTTAAGAATACTATATTCTGGTTTACACATGTTGTCGGCTTGCTGTCTTATAAATTTTTGTCCTCAATTTCCTCTCATTCATACTAGTTTTGAAGAAAGTGTAAAAAGAAGTGTTGATTAACAATGACAGCCTAGTGGATGGGAATGAAAAATGATTACCTTTGGAGAGTACCTTGCCTAAAATTCCTGGTTGCCCAGTGGCCTATGAGAACTAGTTATATATCTAGGTCCCTGAATTATGGTTTCTCAGCATACAAATTTGGGTACAGATGTCTGGCTGGGGTTATAAATACCCCCCCCCCCCCCCCCATTCATATACATGTGTATTGTAAAAATTTCGAAATGTTAAACACAAGTGCCAAGCTAAATTGGCTTTATATTCAAGACAACCTAACCTATACAGATATGTTTATATGTAAGAATATTTGTCTGTTAATATTATATATAATCTGTTAGGCTACTGCTTTTTATGCCCCCACCATAGCAGAGGGGGCACTAAGTTTTATCCTTTATTGGTCTGTACGTACATCCCGAAATTGGTTTCCATTCTCTAATTTTAGTTTGCCTCAACCAAATGTTATGAAACTTATACACAATGCTTATGACCAAAAAAAACATATCCATTTTGAATTTGGGTGGTGTCACTTTTACCTTTCTAGAGTTATGCCCCTTTACAAATGGAAAAATTGCTAAATTTTTCGATTCCGTTCTTTAACTTAAGTTTGCCTCAATCAAATGTTATAAATCTTACACACAATGCTTATTACCACAAAACACAGATCAAGTTTGAATTTTAATGGTGTCACTTATACCGTTCTAGAGTTATGTCCCTTTACAAATAGAAAAAGTGCTAAATTTTTCGTTTCCGTTCTCTAACTTAAGTTTGCCTCAACCAAATGTTATGAAACTTATACACAATGCTTATTACCACAAAACTCAGATCAAGTACAAGTTTTTGTAGGGTAACTTTTATCGTTCTTGAGTTATGTCCCTTTATAACGTTATATGCAAGCAGGGACATCATCTGTGTCCCATGGACAATTCCCCATTTATTTACTTATATGCTTATGGCTCTGTAATGGCTTTGGCTTAAGATTTTAAAATTTAGTTGATTATATTCATATTGATATACATGTATGAATATCAAAATTATTTGTTTCATGTTTCATGTATGATTAAATTTAGTGAATATAATAGTTCCTGAGCTTCCTCTCCCTTTTCAACAGATTACGGCGACCTATTGGAAAGTTTACCATGCAAGAACAAAAGTTAGAGGGAGAATACAGATATGTTAATACTAGATTGATAACTAACAGGTAACCAGTCTTAAGATCATTTTTGAGCCAGTATCCAATAAGTAAACATATGTTAATACTAGATTGATAACTAACAGGTAACCAGTCTCAAGATCATTTTTGATCCAGCAAACATATATGTTAATACTAGATTAATAACTAACAGGTAACCAGTCTTAAGATCATTTTGGAGCTAGTATCCAATAAGTAAACATATGTTAATACTAGATTGATAACTAACAGGTAACCAGTCTCAAGATCATTTTTGAGCCAGTATCCAGTAAACATATATGTTAATGCTAGATTGATAACTAACAGGTAACCAGTCTTATGATCATTTTAGAACTGATAACAAGTTAACATGTCATTTAATTTAGAATGATAAATAAGAGGTAACCAGTAAAAAGATATTTTAAATTAGTTTTTAATTAAAAAAATAGTTTTTTGAAGACAAAATGTAAGCACCAAAATTTATCAGTAATGCAAGATCTACAAATGTTTTTTTGTAATTATGACCAAACCCTTGAAATGATTTCTTGTAGTAGTCATTGCCCTTAAATAATGATTGTTTGCATTTTTTTCACCAATTATCTTTGGAACTATAGTAGAAAAAAACGGCAAAGTGCTACAATATCAACATGTTTGGCATTTGAGCTAATTAAGCTTTTCTGAATCTATCCAATTAAAACATGTAGAGTGGTTGGCGCATATTCGCCTTGGACACATTTTCGCCGTTTTGCTATTTTTTCTGTAAAATGTGTGTGCCGTTACCCAATACTTGCCTAAATAGATGGTAAAGGCTGTTTGTAATGTTACAACTGTTGATATTCCTCTTTACCCCATTTCCAAGATTATTTGCACATATTGAGAAATACACAGGTGTTTTTAAATGATTTTGGCAATTATGTAAGATTTATATGGCAATCATGCGCAGTCTTAAAGTAAATATTTGTGAGAAAAATCGTATAGGAATGATCTCTCAAGCTAATTCATGTAATTGCAAACATTCGTTTTTTTATAATATACCAGGATAATGAGGATGGTCATATCATACATTACAGCAAAAATGTGTCCCCCATGGTACACGAGCAACTTGATTTCCTCTTGAGTTTGCGTTCGTTTTTAGAACAATTAAACAATGTTTTGAAGATAATTTCTTTATCAAACATTTGTTTCATATAGTTAAATTTCTGAAACCTTCATAAAAAGTTCCAAATATTTGAATGTAGGTCGGATGTAAGTGGAAATGAACGAATTATGCGGCGAATATGGGTCTCTCACTCTACCTTCAAAAGAAAACAGTTTAAAATGATATTCATAAGTAGCTGTCTAAAACTACTTTTCAGTATAATAATTCATGAGATCTGTATAAATGGCATCAGTCTTCTTGGTCACTAAATGTTAATCTGCTTCCCTGTACAGTCCTTATGATGAAGAACAAGAAATAGATTTAACACAACAATACCTTGCTAAGGAAGATGTAACCATTGAATTCTTTGTTTTATTTCAGTGAAGAAATAGCTTTTTACCAAGGAAACAAAAGAGAACAAACCATTATTATAGCTACATTTAGAAAATTGGTAAGTCAGGATAAGAATAGAATAGTTGTTATAATATTGTCAATGAAAGAAGAATTTGATCGGTGTTAATCTCTACGAGTCGTTTAGCATACCTGTCAACTATTTCCATTTTTGTTGTTGTGAACTATTTATTTTCTCACAGAGACTTGTTTATTATCCATCTGGGTATTTAAATAACCCTGGAGTTAAGTATTGGACATGTTTTCACCTATATTCTAGTTTTATCAGAATTTGATGTTTAAAAAACTAAATTTTCCCTCAAAATAATCCAAAATTTGACATTATTAATCACATAATTTACTGTTTAAGGTCAAGTTACAGTAAATGGGCTATGTCACAGTTTTCATACAACTTTGGCTCATTGAACTATTACTGAAAATTATAAAAAAAATAATGCATTTATCTCTTTTATTTTCTTAAATATTACTAAATGAATTCAATTTATTATCATTTTCATAGGTACGACATTTACGGAATTTTATATCATTTAGGATGCAGATGGGATTTGTAGATAATATTATAGCAAAATGTAAGTTATCTTAAACATTTCTATACAAACCAATTCTTATTACATCATCTATACTTTGTCTATTTATAAATTACTCCTATTCACAAATAAAGCTTAAGGAAGAGAAATAGAAAAGACAAATTATACAACATGATACAAATGTGTTGATCTTTACTAATATTGTATTTGAAATTAGACATGTTAGAATTGGAAGAAACAAGATATTATGGAAATTAATTGTGATGTTAGATCACAGCTTTGTAATAAATGTTCCTGACAGTATAAATGTGTTATATATTTGTCCAGAGATGACCAGAACTCTGATAGTTCAGTGGGACTGACACTCTTGTTGTTTCTGTTCTAGATCTGGCATGGCAGCCCTACAAATATTGATTATATGATTGATTTATATAAATTTTTAGGTATTTATATGTCTCATTGAGTTACACTCTACATCTGTTTCATATTTAATGAATAACCTATGAAATATAGGTAAAATTAATTGATGATAAAAATTATATAGAAATGCAAAACATTTCTTATAATTATTCTTCTGCAGCAAATTTTGACAGGTAAAGAAAGATGATTGTTTGGTTTGTTTATTATCCAAGTCACTTTCTGATGAAGAGTCTGATTCAGTATAGTTTTCTGCATCTTTTTTTTCAATTACTGTATGTTCAATTTTGTCATTTTCAATTGATTGGTTTAATTTAACTTCAGATTCTGTTCTAGTTTCTTATGTTTCAACAACAGCTTGATTTGTTTGATCTAGCTCGTCCAATCAAACCCGAGTTTGTTTCACTTGGGCAGGCCTGTGCTTTTTCAAAGACATATGCTCATTAGTGAACAACTGGTAACCAGAAACATAGTTTGCTTCAAAGTCCTCATGCTTTAGATCTGGAAACCAGTCAAAACATGTATATTTATACGCTATGGAGGTTTCCCAAAACTTACGTGCGATCAGATTGAGAATGGAAAAGTTGTTCCATTGATCAAAATGTGAAAAAAGGATCAGAAAATTTTATCTGTCAGAATTGTCAATTTACCAGTCCTTTGACGTTTTTTTTATTGGACAGCAGGACTGACACATGACATGATAGGGAAGGCTGTAGAACCTTCTTCCAATTTGCTGATTAGGACTGAATGATTTTCTACATCTCTGTTAGGCAGTTACACTATGTTGTATATATATGTTATATATTTTTTGTGTTACACCATTTTTAAATGTGTATTTTCAGATGTAGCAACTGTATTTGGTTATTTAGTTGTCAGTAGACCATTTTTAGATTTAGCAGATCCACGCCATTTAAACAGCACTTCCAGTGAGAGATTAGAGGTAAATATATCAATCATACAAATATTATCGTTACTATAAAGAAACATCACAGGTATTTAAGGTTACAGAATAAACATTTAAACAAAATCTTTGTAAAATTGCTTAAATTGTCTATTTTAAATCAAACCATGGTAAGAGGCCTGATAATAATTTTTTTTATCGCTATATGATTTAGAATTTAAACAGAAATCAGAGCGACTTTCTCCTTCCAAATATTTTGAATCTAATGTTACATCATCAGTTATTATGTTTTATTCTGTAAAGGATTATTATAAAAGTGGCAGGATGTTAGTACGAATGGCGGAGGCTATAGGTAGAATTGTATTAGCTGGCAGAGATATGACCAGATTAGCTGGGTAAGTATTTTAAAAGTCATGATAACCAATAAGTGCAAAAAGTATATGTTTCACCCAATGCAAGATGCTGTATGATTGCAAATGAGACAAAAGGATAAGGATGTGATTAATTACAGGTCACTGTACCGCTTCAACAATGAGCAAAACCTATAACATATAGTAAGCTATAACCACAGAATTACAGTCTTTTAAAGACACATCATAAGAACTAACTGTAAAATTCAGTTAAAAGTTGATTCATCAGATCAGTACTAAGCACAAAGACATCTTATAAAAAGACAAAAGACCACAATGTACCAATCTATGAATATCACAATTACTACATCTATTTCTGTTTATGAAGTTTATGGCCATGGTGGCCAGCAACATATTGATTCAGTATCTCTTTAACTGGTTTTGATTCACAGCTTTTCACATTCAGTGTGATTCAGAGCTTGACATTTTGAATAGTCACTTGTATATTGTTGAATCCTTTAGATGTTTTTGTTTGTGTCATTTGATAACTCTCTCATTGATCTTTACCCCATAGTTCCTTTTATGCATACTTACAAAACCTTCCAACCTTTATAGACTCCTGACAATTCAGCTTGACATATTGTATAGACAGCTGTCTATAAATGATGACTGGATGTTGCCGTTTTAGATGTCTTTTGATTATTTTTGTGATTGGGTTGCTGTCTGATTGATGTATATCCCACATCATACTCACATTGACAGTGAAATTGTTGATAATTATGTGACTGTAAATTTAAATCTTTAAATATATATCGTAAAACTCAAAGTACAGGTGACATCAGCCTGGCTTCATTTTCAGAACTCTTCTTGGGAGAAAAATACTTGCGTACACTATGAATAAGAATTGTCCCTCTTATGCATTAGGTTTACGGTTCTAACACTAAGTAGCAGATGATTTTTTAACATGGGTTTATGTATTTCTAGGTTCACGGCCAGAATCACACAGTTAAACACAGTTTTAGATGATTTAAACAAAGGACATTATGAAAGAACCATGGTTTCTGATCAGAGTGGTAAGACAAATATGATGTTACAACTCATGCATACTAAAATTAATTGTTATTATCAAAGCTATTATGGAATACAGAGTTATCTCTCATACTGTATGATTTATCTTATGAGAAGACATTATTTCCTTTACCTATCTTATCAAATTAACCCCGGATTTCATTGCAGAACATTTATTTCTTAGTCATAAACATATATCTTGGGTGTTTCAAGGCACCATTTTTTTCTTATTTGGTGTTCCAATAAAATATTTTGGAAACTTGAGGAGGCATGGTTACTAAACATGCTAAAGCTTGTAAACAGGAAAAAAGGAACGAAAAGTTGCTTGGTTTACTTTCAGTGATGGTTATTTTCTTATATGCAATTAAATGCTTTGTGAAATTTTCACTGTAGTTCTGGACAGGATAAAATTTTACTTATGCCAAGTATTTCTTTATTTGAAACAAAGATAAATTCTGCCCAATTTTTAGAATTTACCAAAGACTGATAGGGAATAAACAATAGTGGTATTACCCTGTAAAATACAGAGTTATCTCCCATTCTGTATCTAAAAAAACAAACAAAACTGCCTACCTAACCTTTTGAATATAACTGGAAACAGACATATTGTTTTATTTGGCCTCAGTATTTTGTTGTATAGTAATATTTTTCCATGTTGTTTATTATTTTTTGTTTTTTTATACTTTTAATTTAATATTAAATGACAAGAAGATAGTTGTAACTACTCATCTGCATGTTTAATGACACTACAGAATTTTATAACCTATGGTAATATATACCTAAGATCCCTATAGAAGACTTGCAACGCACTATTAAAGTCATATGATCCTTCAAATTTAACAAAACAGATGATTATGTTTTATATAACTGAATTGCAAAATTTTATTTTATAACACAAGACGTAGATTTTCTTATAGTAGAAAACCCTTATTTTATCCAAACTCTCAGGAAATGCACTGCTGTTGAATTATTGTCTTTCTGAGCTCTAGTTTGGCGACAGCTTTTTGGTATGCAGTAACCATAAAATAACACCTCTTATTAGAAATTGTCAACAACACTTGTCAAGTGCAATGGAAATGATGGAAGGAAGATAGTATGAACCAATTCTGAAAAAAAATATTTGAATACACCAAAATCTTTCAACATTTTGTTATGACAAAGTTTAATTAACAAATGGGATTGCAAGGAAAATATAGATAAAAAGCATCAAATTAACATTGCTCTATCATCTAGCTTGTATAGTAGAGTTGTCTGATCTGTAATTTACTGATTGTGTGATATTCCTAATTGTGATATTTTGACTGAGTGTGGATTACCATGACAGGTGATCTAATTGTGATATTTTGACTGAGTGTGGATTCCCATGACAGGTGATCTAATTGTGATGTTTTGACCATGACAGGTGATCTAATTGTGATGTTTTGACTGAGTGTGGATTCCCATGGCAGGTGATGCATGCATAGCAAAAGACACTTACCATGTCTATGCATCCAGACATGATTATATATTATAGATGGCAATAATTGGAAAAAAATATGCACGCAGGTTTGGTTTAGTATTGGTTCAATAATTCCCTAAACATTAATATCATTGCGTTTCATATGACTTTAAGATTAAGAACAGGAATAAAAAGAGTTGTTTTCCAAGTTGTTGTGGGATATTAAATCTATAATGGGAAAATTAAGCAGAATTTATAATAGAGAGAAGACAAAATGTAATATTTTATTTTATTTCAGGACAAAAGAAAAATAATAAAGTATTTAAACCTGGCAGTGGTAAAATCATCCCTCAAGATCACATAATAAGGTATGGTCATGTTTATTTATCATTATTGTGTACTTGCCAATGTAACCATTGCATGCTTTGGTCACTTCAGAAACCATTAAACGAAACTGCTATTTGTGAATGGTTTCTTTTTAGGCTAAGTATAAAGTTGGGTTTATATTGGATTTATGGTTATATCATATTTTACAGAATGTCAAAAAAGTATTCAACATATTAAGGCCATGTAAAATAAATTTTCTGGTTCTAAACAATTCATGTCAGTATATAGGATGTGTTACAATAAGTTTTTAAGTAAACAATCCATGGTCTAAATCTACAATCAAATAATACCATGACTACCATAGTCAAATAGTATTGTAAAAAGTAAAACAACAAAAACACTGAAATTCCTAGAAAAATTCAAAACAGAAAGTCTCTTAAGGTGGTACCTAACACTACAGGGAGATAACTCTGTAAAAATCAGCTAAACGTTTTAATTACGTTGTATTGTTAAGGAAATATTAAGCTTCTCAATGATCAAAATTAGTGTTTGTCAAACTGCTATATAAACAATGAAATTTTTCTGATAAAGTGGTTGGTTCAAATTTTTTGAAATTTTTATATTTTTGTCAAAGGGTCAAAGTAAACATTTTGTAAAAATTTTATGAAAATTAAACGAGCCAAATTAATATTAGTCAAGGTGTTGGGTACCACCTTAACAATTGGCAAAATCAAAAGCTCAAACACATCAAACGAATGGAAAACAACTGTCATATGCCTAACTTCTTCCTTATTTTCGAGTTGGAGTTTCACCATGTTACTTATGTTGGCCTCAGGTTAAGGAAATAACAATAAGAATCATAATGGAAGTTCATATATATAGAATGATGGCATTTTCGATACTGACTATCAGCAAGAATATCAAGCAATATTAGCAGTAAGATCAAACTGAAAATGTACAAATTACTGATAAATTGTACTATTTGCTGCTTGATTATCAATATAACAAATACAGTGGTTCATAAACATATGACATGAAATGATATATATCTATATACATTTGTACTATAGCTAGGTGTATTACTTTCACAAATTAAAGTTAAATAGAATATTGCTTCTAGCACTGGGTGTACTGCATTCTAATACTCTCCATACTCAGTTCATGGTTTATTTCTTATCATTGCAAATAGTATAACAGCATTTTGATAAGAATACTTGGTTCAATTGTCAAGTGCATAAATTATTATCACCAAGCATTTTCACTAAGTGCTGCAACTCAAAGCTTTATATACTGCTAAAGGGGAGTAGACTCTTTAAGAGACTCTCCCATTCTACGTATGTGTTCTGTTATTTGTAATAAAGTATCGTTTCCTGGTGATGTACTTCACAAGTTATTCATAAACATGTACAAGAATAGGAACATGCAACGTTACACTGGCAAAAGCAAGTAATTGAACAATAACACTAATAAATACATTTGATAATCATTTAATAATGTTAGGGTCAGGTAAGCTATTCCATCTGTTAAACAGGGAACAGAACTGAACAACAGACATCTGCATGTATCACATGTGGAATAAATAAAGTTGATAATCATTTAATAATGTTAGGGTCAGGTAAGCTATTCCATCTGTTAAACAGGGAACAGAACTGAACAACAGACATCTGCATGTATCACATGTGGAATAAATAAAGTTGATAATCATTTAACAATGTTATGGTCAGGTAAGCTATTCCATCTGTTAAACAGGGAACAGGACCCAACAACAGACATCTGCATGTATCACATGTGGAATAAATAAAGTTGATAATCATTTAATAATGTTAGGGTCAGGTAAGCTATTCCATCTGTTAAACAGGGAACAGAACTGAACAACAGACATCTGCATGTATATGTGTGGAATAAATAAAGTTGATAATCATTTAATAATGTTAGGGTCAGGTAAGCTATTCCATCTGTTAAACAGGGAACAGAACTGAACAACAGACATCTGCATGTATATGTGTGGAATAAATAAAGTTGATAATCATTTAATAGTGTTAGGGTCAGGTAAGCTATTCCATCTGTTAAACAGGGAACAGAACTGAACAACAGACATCTGCATGTATATGTGTGGAATAAATAAAGTTGATAATCATTTAATAGTGTTAGGGTCAGGTAAGCTATTCACATGTGGAATGAAGAAAACAGTGAAAAATATGAACATAACTATGTAATTAATACAAGTTAAAACCACTGATTCAGGGAAAGAAGTAGTACAGCACTAAAAACTGCCACAGAAATTGTGTAAATTTGACTGCTGAAAAAGTGCAAATTTACTGAAAAACATTAAAAACCCAAATGCCATTAGAGTTGTTGCCCTTTGACCAGTGTAAAGATAGTTTAATTAAATGGCAGTCATTTTACACATTCTGTTGAATTTTATCGTTGATATATTTTGCATGTTTTGCTGACCAGAAAAAAACACCTGAAAACAGAAAATATTTAATTTACATGCCTTAAGTTATGTAATTATGAAATATTAATTGAATTCCCCCGCTGCAAATAGGTATGAAAATTTATTGAATTCATAAAGAATATACATGTATCTGCAATTTATATTTATTTTTTTTACATGTGAGGAAAATGTCTGCCAGCTATATTTTTGAAAATTGTTTTGAAAACCTTACTCTGAATTTTTTCATGCTCACAGTATTCTGATATTGTTGGCAGTATGAGCTGGTCAGAAATATTTTCAATACTGTTTTTCATTTGGGTATGTACACCCGCATTATCATTCCAGTATTTGGGTACACCCGCATTATCATTCCAGTATTTGGGTACACCAGCGTTATCATTCCAGTAATTGGGTACACCAACATTATCATTCCAGTATTTGGGTACACCAACATTATCATTTCAGTATTTGGGTACACCAACATTATCATTCCAGTATTTGTGTACACTAGCGTTATTCAAGTAATTGGGTACACCAGCATTATCGTTCCAGTATTTGGGTATACCAGCATTATCATTCCAGTATTTGGGTATACCAGCATTATCATTCCAGTATTTGGGTACACCAGCATTCCTGTATTTGGGTACACCAGCATTATCATTCCAGTATTTGGGTATACCAGCATTATCATTCCAGTATTTGGATACACCAGCATTCCTGTATTTGGGTACACCAGCATTATCATTCCAGTATTTGGGTATACCAGCATTATCATTCCAGTATTTGGGTACATGAGCATTATCATTCCTGTATTTGGGTACACGAGCATTATCATTCCAGTATTTGGGTACACCAGCATTCCAGTATTTGAGTACACCAGCATTATCATTTCAGTATTTGAATACTGTTCTTATTGTTTCATTATTTTGAGGGATCATTTCATGTTTTTTTCAGATTTGAGAAAGTACCATTGGTTACTCCAAATGGTGATGTTTTAATAGAAGAACTGGATTTTGAGGTGAGATTAAGTCTGATTTTCATTGAAAATCTCAAAATACTGAAAACATATTTTGTGAATAAGACAGTTAAGGAGTACTCAGGAGTTTCACTATCTTTCATGTTGACTGGTACACTCCTATTTGTAGGTGGTACTTTTCAATATATTCAATGAACATCTTGTATAAAAATTCCTGAATTCAGGCGGTACTTATCAGTAGCATAGGAGGATAAAAGTACCGAGTACCACCTCCTAATGAATGGCCTGAGTACTGACTTTCTCATTACATCTTTCAAATTTATTTGGGATGTTGAAAGGAAATTGTAACGAATAATTTGCAATATTAACAGAATAGAATTTTCATTTGTTTATATAAGTTAATTGCAATAGAATATAATATTTTATAGATGACTAAATTTTTAACTTTGTCTTTAAAAGCCCAAAATACTTTAATGTTTAAAGTGCAACATCTTTATCTTTGAACCAGTTTCTATCTTAAATTTTAATAAAAAGAAATTTTTCATAAACTTTAAAACATTTTGGCATAAATTTCATGTAAATATTAACCTTTCTTGTCTTTGGTGATAATCAAACATAGATACAGACTTAATACTGCACTGAAATCTAAATCTTTATTTGTCATGATCCATTTAAAAAGAATTCCTAAAACTATAAATTTATCTTAGGTCTATAGATCTATAAGTAACCATATCAATGTCAACAACAAAGTCTCCCTATTTTCCAGGGGCCTCGGTGGCTGATTGGTCTAAGTAGTTACTACTGTAATCACTAGCCAGTCAACGATGAGGTTGTGAGTTCGAACCCCGCTCGTGCGGGTGCACTCGACTCCAATCTTAATTGACTAGGATTGTCAGTTTTCCTATCGAAGATTGGTGGTTTTCTCCGGGCACTCCGGCTTCCTCCACCAATAAAAACTGGCCGCCACGAAATAGCCCAAAAGCGGTGTTTAAAAGTGGCGTTAAAACACCAAAAATCAAAATAAAATCCCTATTTTCCAGCCTAAATAACAGGAAGAAGATATAAATAGATTTTAACATGTGTTATGGATAAAATTTGCAAGATTACTTCTGTAATTCATTAATAATGGATATAGATATCCAGTTTGAAGGTACAGCCATGCATTTTATTTATAAAATAGATAGCAATTAATTGTAAATAAACTTGAATATTCTTCTTGAACTAACTGGGTCATGTGATATGTACAGATGTCCATCCCATTTGAATTACTTGTTGACAGATACTATAGTTTGAAACCCGACTATCATGCAATAACTATGTCATAATTAAAGATAATTTGGGCCATGGTTTAATCAGAGACATATAATACTATAATATAATATTGAGGAATGTATAATTGTCAATTATACATAATGAGCCAACAATTTATTATGTACAAAAAATGAACCGACGTGTGTACAGCTATCGGGTCAGCACTGTTTGTGTACAAAGTATTTGCCGACTTGTCATGGGTTAGCGCTTGGGTAGTGAGTGAAGCCATAAAATAGTTATCTGTGATCATAAAGTTATGATCTCTTTAATAATTAAAACACAAAAGAATCATGTAACAAGTGTTAATTACATCAATTAAACCCAATCAACAAGGTTAACCTCGTAAGGTAAATCGATCACGTGGTGTAAACAATCTGGGTTGAACTGGTCTGAATTGGTCAAATTTCACCTGGAATTTTATACCTCACCGAAAAGATTTAACAAGTCGTTTAAAACTTTACCGATTTACGATTTTTTTACTGAAAATTTTAGCACCACGGACAAAAATTATACTTACGGTAAGACTGATAGCACCACGCTAAAAAATTATACATCGCAGGCCCGCTGTCCTTTAAGGGCCTGGGGAGAACACTGTATTATGTCAAAAATTTGATCACAATCCAAATTCAGCCAGTATCAAGCTTTAATATTGTGTCCAAACTTGCACCAACTGTTCAGGGTTAGACCTCTGCGGTCGTATCAGGCTGCGCTCGGCGAGGCATTTTATTTTCAAATATACGAAAATGGCAGTAGCTACCAGCTTCTCTCTGTTGCTGACATTGTATATGAGGGCCTCAGGAAACATTAATTATCTAAACTAACTATATTTACCTTGTTCAATTATTTATTATTATTTTCTATTGAATATCCTACTGAGGTTCCAGATGATTAATTTAAGTTATATTTTCAGGTAAAATCTGGTATGAATGTATTGGTATGCGGACCAAATGGATGTGGTAAAAGTTCATTATTTAGGACACTTGGTGAGGTATACATTTATTTATAATTTTCACTGAAGCTTTTATATTACTTTTTCACCAAATTAATCAATAATTCCAATATTGTGAGTTAAAATTATGTAAGTTTTATTGAGTATGCCTAAACAAAGATTGTGTTGAAGAAACCCCTCGGTATGTGTAAGTTCCCAAGGGTAATGGGTAGCAACACCCAGGTATATTGGTTAGCAACACCCAAGGCTATTAGAGCAAATATTTTTAGGAAAGCCTTAACATTGATATGACCTCCAATTAATCTCTGTTTCTGTCAATGGGGAGGGCTTTATGGGACCTCTTCAGAGACAGTTTCTAGTGAAATATTTGATGTCACAACTTAGAGTTGTATAAAATTCTTTCAGTTATATTTTTATTCCCATATTATATTGGTTAGTGTTCACATTATCTTTAATCTTAACAATCTCTATCAGTCTAATCTGAACAACTGCATTCACACTACAAGTAAAAATGCAATCAATCTGACCTTATTACCAAGGAAAATGTAAACACAGTGTTTAAACAGAAATATTTAATCAAATTAATGTGTTGATACACAAGCTTGCAAACAAAAATAATGGATGAAGTAGTTGTTTCACTTAAATTTTAAGTTCAAATGTGATACTGCTGGTCTTATATTTACAGTTTTGCTAACTTTCAGCCCTTTTATGTTGGTCTTCCATTTTGTAATAAATTGCACGTGTAATTTTTCCGCCGTACATGGTACAAAATTATTTTGATTTAATCGTACTAGTTTAGATCGATCTCTGTGTTCACATTCAAAGCTAGATCAGTTCACCTTAGATCTTATCAAACAAAACTAAATCTTTTGGTGTTTTAGTTTAGACTGATTCAAGATTGATTCAAAGCGTTCACATTGGCCCTTAAATCGATCTAACATGAACTGAAATAGTTTAAATCGATCTAAATGTCCAAGTGTGAATGGGGTATTAGTTTCTATTAAAGCAGTGTTACAGTTGTTATAATGGACTAGGATATATGAAATTAAACTGAAGAATGATCATTGTAATCAAAGACCCCAAAGATTGACTAAGATATAGAAATGTAATTATCCCTAGACTTCTCCAGCTCTAAGTCCTTGTGAAAAGTAAAGCATCACTTTGGTGATGTGGGGAGGTAAAAAACGCAGTGAGCCATGTCTGGTGGAAATCAGTACATTAAATCCTATGCCTCTCATGAGACAAGTTCTATACTCTGCATGTTAAAGAACCATTCAAACACTTGTCAGATAGGTCTGCAAAATTCTGCCCCTTTCCAACATGCCCTCTTTTTCCAGTGGCAGTCTAAAGGACAAGGTTCACTTACTACAAGGTTAAACAAATCTCTTCATAAGAGTACATTCTATGCTTCAAAGCTAAAATTGAGAATGGAAATAGGGAATATGTCAAAGAGAGTATATTTTAGATACATTATCAAAACACAATGATTTTATGCGTTTTACTGACCTAAAAGCTTGAGGAAACACTTAACCTCAACCTAGGATCCAGAATTTTCTGTTACCAAAAGTTGCCAATGATGATTTTAAATCTCTAGATGCAATTCCTTATGGATAAGGGGTGGTGGGCAAAATAAATTATGCTAAAAACGGTTAAGAATCATGAAATATTTTACCAAAACTTGACTTTATAACACAAATAATGCATACCTTAGGGATTACATCTTTGTCAATTTGAATGGGATGTGCCAAAAAGAAGCTATTTTGTATAAATAGAATATCAAAACTATTTCTTTGTGAAAGTAGTATTTTAGCCTGCTTTAAAAACATCAAAAGTTTAGGATAAAATTTTTTAGTTTAAAGCATCTATATGCACAGGATTTATTTGTTTTTACTCAGTTGGATTTAGAAGAAAACTGACATGGTTATAAAATACAGATAATTACACCATTACTAACACACTTCTATATTAATATTCTTGTAATGGTTAGAAAATACATCAAATATTTACACCATTACAAACTTAATCCCAATTTTATATTCTATTTTTAGAAATTTACCTGTTACATCACTTTTTGTGGCATTTATACATTCCTGTGACGCACAGTTCATAATTCTATTGTGCTGTATTGTGTACTGTCGGCAATTAATTTTAGGTGGTCGTTCTTATTCTGTGGTTGACATGTTGAAATGTACTATTATATTATTTATGTATTTCTCTGTCCTGAGTGTTCTTGCATTTATTGTACTGTATTCCTGTCACATAATGTTGTCATTTTACAGTATTTTTAACATTGCCATATAAGCAGGAGGTTTGGCTAGCCATTAAACCTGGCCTGGTTCAACCCACCATTTTTTCTTAAAATGTCCAATACCAAGTCGAATATGGCAATTGTTATCAAATAGTATGTTTCTATGTATGTTGGCGATTGGTTTTGTAGCAGCTAGTTCAGTGTTTCTGTTGTTCCATTTCCCTCTTATAGTTGATGTGTTTCCCTCAGTTTTGGTTCTGACCCGAATTTGTTTCAGTTAAATCGATTTATGACTATTGAACAGCAGTATACTACTATTGCCTTTATTTAACCCATCTTGAACTTACTTCTTTCCAACCTTTCAGGCCAACCTACCTTGCTGAAGCTGCCTTTTGTAGAGATTGTTTTAAACTTGTTTAAACTCCTGAATATGCATGAAATAATTTGTCATGGTGTTACATTAGCAACAATCAATTAATTTTTGTCATTAATTGACCTCATTATAGTCATTGTTTCCATGAACACTAAGCAAGGTGACCTGTTCAGAACATAAATTTGTGAACTTATCTTCCTGAGATCTAAAGTAATATCACTATTATTTTATCAAATATCTGGCCTGAGAACACAGTTATTTCATAGTGCATTTCTTTTGGGACAAATTATATATAACAAAATTATAGAAAATTCTCTCGGCTCTTAACTCAAAATGTGGATAATTTTATGTTAAGTGGGTCTGTATTTCAGTTTGACAGCTTCAGACATACTAATATGACCTTTTCAAACTGGACCAAATCGCTACTTTCCTTAAAAATTCATGCCCCAAATTTGTTTTACATGTAATTTCATCCACTACTTACTATTTTATGCATAAACTATAAAGAATAAACTTGGAAGGTGTATGAAAAACATTTGCAGGTTATACACTGCACTAGTAACCAGAATTTAGATTGATTGGCCAAAAAGGTATTAACCCATTTTGAAAAAGATTACTGAATATTTAAATTTGATTGACAAAAATTAAAATTGTTTTTCAATTTATTTTAATCCATTTCAAATCATTTCAATACCAGTCAAATAGATTCCCTTGAGGTCATTTAAGTTGTTTTAAGATATGGTTAAGTTACGTCAAACTAATAAGCCACACCCCCGTTAAACGAAATCAAACTGATGTTAAGTCCTTTTAAAATTTAAAGTGTCCACCTTTTTGTAAAGTAAATCACTCAAGCAGAATAGCATCCCAGTTTATCTATCGTTTATTCGTTCCAAACGTTAACGATTTTAGTCAGATAAGTACCTCCAATAAATATTCACCATTAAAAATTAATAAAAAATACATGTGTTAACTAAGTAACTTATAGTTATTGATGCCAGATATTTAACATGCAGCCAAAAAGTAAATCAGTTAAAATGATCTTTTAAGTTGAAAAAATCTTTTTACAATTATCGACTAAAAAGACTGTATTTATTGAAAAAAATAGTATTATTCAATGAAAAAAACTATTGTGAAAATGTTGAAATGACTCCAAGTGGTGTGCATGGGTGGAAGTTTTATAATTTATTAATCTCTTTGTTAGAAATTTTATGATACTTTTAATTCCTCATTCAATTACTTTTCGTCTTTTTCAAAATCAGTTTTGCACTAAATTTCAATTGTATATAGGATATGATATCCTTTGAGTTATTGCTTTAAAGTCCTTACTGAATGTTAACTCCTAATCATTAATGTAAAACAAATTGATCATTATGTGAAATATAAAAAATAATGGGAAACTTATTCAGAAGATAAAATGAATTTTGCCAAGTATGTGGCATTGATATTACAAATAAAACCTGAATTCTCATTCTGCTTAAAACAAATACACCAAGGACACTTCAGTTCATCCTCTTCACAAATCAGTACTTTACTATCCTTTCCATCTTTTGATATTACTATTATTCTATCAGATCTACCGTCTGTTACAATAATATTACCATAATTATCTTTACAAAGTCCTCTTGGTCCTGTTAAATCCTGTGTATATCGCCAGATCTGTTTACCTGATTCATCAAAACTGTATACTGCTTTACCATCATCATCACTATAGATTACTCTGTCATTACAATAAACAAGGTTGAAAAGGCCTGAATTACTCTCAACTTGTATTGAATTCAGTGTATTTCCTTCAAAGTCTATAATACGGATTTCATCATCACGCAAACCTACAGCCAGGGAATTATTGGAGAATGATAAACCATAGCATGGTATGTCTAATGTGATAACTATGGTAACCGTTTCATTCTCCATATTGAAGATCTGAATGTGTCCCGTCTTAGGATAAGTTATGGCTATAGTGTCCTGGTTGATCTGTGTAATACAGAAGGCTCCATCAGGTATAGGTAATTGTTTCTGTAGTTTGCCATCAGAAGAAAGTAGGTTTACTTTTCCTCCCCATTCCACAACTATAACTCTTCCATCCATCAGACAAATCATGTCACTGCTGTACTTTTTTATGTTTATATCTATTTTTATTTCAATATTCATGGTCATGTTGTTTATGTTGGATTGTTCTCGTGATTGTACTTGTGCTTTCCTACTCACACTTGTTTCTCTATTCAAGGCGGTTTCTGTTTTAACAACCATTACTTCTCCCAGGTATCCCAGTGATCCTAACTTCCTTAGTATCTTTTCTATCTCATCATTTTGCCTCATTTTGATGTCAAATTCTTTTGCCCTGTCATCATTTTCCAGATCTTCGACATACCTTTGATATTTATGTACTTGTTGTTCAATCTGATGTACACCTAGAAATGA